CCAGCTACTTCCATGTCATAAAGGCTTAGTCATGTCTCTTGACCAAGCAATGAGCTGGTGTCCTGACAGGTTGTTTGCCAGCCTATCATATATCATGATAAATAAATTGACTAACAGCAGTACTAATTATCTACAATACAGTGGGCATTGAATCCAAATTTGGGGACCCTGAAACTGGGTTGCATTTTTCACAGGGCCAGTTTGGCAACCCAGGCCTCAGACTGACCTAGGCCTACTTAAACCAGACAGGGATACCTGGTTTTCAAAAAGCATAATGGAATAAAATTTATTGAGCCTAGGAAAGCTAAGAAAGGCACATACAAATGTGATTCCAAGAAATATCACTCCCTGCTACAGAGACACTGATAGCATTCATAGCAGTCTTTCTGCTATGGTAGCACTTGCTGTGTCTACAAATGCAAGTCTTGACTCTCTGGATATTTGGTATGATGACTGCAGGTTTCCCCTGCAACAGGATCAACCCACACAGATATTCAGCCTGCCAATGCCTGCCTTGGTGAGGTATCTAGACAGCAGGATAGTATTGAGCACAGCTTAGGGTAGCTAGTATAAGTAGTTTCCAGAAACTCCTGTATCTAGCTGATTCTGCCCCTTTTCCATTAGCTTTATACAGATCCAATTATCTCTTACTGGATAGGCAGACTTGACTTGACATGTGCTACTTGACTTATTGTGATTGACTGGACAGACACTGAGCTCAGCTCCAATTTATATGTACTGACTACTGATAGCTCAGCATTTGGCTGACTCCTGCATTTCTACCAACTTTCCTCTCTCCCCCTCTTTCCCCAGTGAGTTCTCACACACCACCCATCAGACCAACATATTTGGACACCCGATATTTCAGACACCTCTTGGGTTGGATCAGCAGCTGATGGGTTGGCAAGTTTCCTATCACTAATGTGGGAGAGGAGTGATAAGGCACATTAGATGTTTCGGGGAGAGCGGAGTAGCCAAGAGGGGGAAATGGTGGGACCTGAGCCTCGTATATGCATGTCATCTCGGTAGGTCTCATGTGAGGAAAGGGGGTTGAGACTTCGCGAGAGGGATAAACTCCGGCTTGAGCAAACCGCTGATGTATAGCCATACCCGTCTTGGGGGTACAACTACGCAAGGCTTGGAAGATAGGAGCAGGAGTAGTGCTAGCCGAGAGGGACATCGATATACCCAAGGCGAAATCCCTATGCCTCCGAAGGCTGATGGCGCATGAAAAGAACCACCCAGAGAGGATGGCGTACTTTTCGAACAGGCTCTTTTCGGAGGTATGGGGTGTAGCTAAAGCTGAGCGAATGTGGTTGCCTGGATCAACGGGGTGTGGCTGACGGTCATCGAAAGCCGTGCGGACTGCCGCTGGAGTTATGGAGACTAGCGCCTCTAACTCTAAATCGTGTCTGTTGATCAAGTCGTCCAGGATGTTCAAATCCTCGATTGAAAATCTCCATTCGCTTTGCCCGCGACTATCCGTCCTTTTCGTCTTCCAGGCTTGTCGTTCGTAGTTCGCGCAGCAAATAGTTTCCTTATACAGCTGATGAGCTCTTAAGACATAGGAGGAGGGGGAGGTATCAGAGCGAGCTAGCTGAGAGATGCGAGCTTCTATGACTTCTTCGTCCGCAGGTGGGGAGCACCAGGCTCTTTATAACCAGCGAGCGTTCCGGGTGCCTCTAGAGATAGGGGGAATGTGAGTGTTCGACTCTTCAGGGGTGTGGCGAACTTGCGTCACAGGAGTCGATTCACTGAGCTCCAATAACTGTCTAAGTCTTTGGGGTGGGGGGTAAGACGCATTAAGACGGGATCTAACAACAGGGCGGCTGATTACCTAGCCCTACTCCGTCTTGACGTCATTACGTCGTCATGATGGTCACACATACGGTTGGCGAAACAACGTAGTTCAATACATGACCTATGCCAAGTACAGATGGTCGGTTTAGAGGACATCACCAAACCTAACCCTAGTCCATGTCAGACAACAACCCGCGCTTCTCTAACATTGATGCCACGTATTCCATGTTGGCATCGCGTAGCACAACCCAGGGCGTGTTGTCATCCATGTCCCTCATCTCGAGAAGCTGTTCGTCGTCATCTTGCAAGTCACGCTCCTGGGCCGCCCCGTCTTTATTGTTCCCCCCCATTGTTTTGGCCAAAAAGTAACTCCCAACGGCGGTCAGGAATGGATGGGTCCCGATGAAACTTCGCATTGCACTGAATGCAAGTCAGCGCTCTCGATACATGCTTTATGACAATGAAAGGGCAGGCTTACAGCTGCTCATCCTCCTCCATTGGAGTGGTTCGGCGCTCCAAAGGCAAAGGGGCGGCGAACGACGTTGCAGCGAGAGTGAGGGCGAGAACAATGGTGCAGGAGCGGACCATGATGAATGTGAGTGTATTGAGTTTGCTGATGTGTGGGAGTAAGATTTCGTGTTGGGGTAAGGTGTTGTGTGCGAGTAAGGTTTCGTGTTAAGAGTGCGTATATGTGAGGTGATTGCGACCAGCGCTAAAGACTTTCCAGAGTGAGGAGCATTAATATCGATCGTTCCTCCTTTTATAAACGGCCCGCTCAATACCAACAGCACCCGTCCGCTCTTGCCAATGTCAACGGCGGTCACACGACCAACATATATCCTCAAACGTGTTCCAAGGCTCCTGAATACTAGCCGACGGGCACAGTAATCAAATGTCCATGCATTACAGGAGATTGAAATTGGTGCTCATCGGTGAGCACTGGTTCGATGAATCATAAGCTCGGTAGGAAGCGGCGGGATATGGAATGCTTTTGTCCAAAGATGAATTGGAATCCCTGGGCAATATAGTTGTCCCTTTGGCAGGGCGCGTGCCCGACTTTTTTATTTTCTACACTCCAAACGTATACATTTTCTTACTTTTCTCTCTTAAATCTCTTACTCTTTCTCACACGACGATCTCCTCATACTTCGGTCATTGACCGTCTCGTATTCATAAACTGACATTCACTACAACACTCAATTCATTCATTCTAAATACCCACCCCACCACACTCTCTCAAAGCGCCATAGCAATATGGCAAAGCGTTTGCGCTCAGAGCAACCGGCCGTCCGCTCGCCCGTCTGGCACGGCCTTGGAAGGGACTCGACCTTCTCGCTGCAGGACAACTAGTGCACAGGGACGAATTTCTTTGGTGTGCGTACATTCCTGCCGTAACAGCTTTTCCTAATGCTTACTGTGCTGTAGTGCTTCGAATTTTTCGACGATGCCGACCCTACCCACGGCGATGTCGTCTTTGTCAACGACAGCGTCGCGTGGGCTCAAGGGCTCGTCTCTACCACCGCCTCCCAAGCCTTCCTCGGGGTAGACAACACCACTTCTCTGGGGGACAACCAAGGGCGCAACAGCGTCCGCCTCGGTACGAAGAAGACCTACGACGGCGCCCTGTTTGTGCTGGATGTTGCGCACATGCCTTTTGGCTGCGCTACCTGGCTCGCATTCTGGACCGTCTCCCAGACCCAGCCCTGGCCACTCGGAGGGGAGATCGACATCATGGAAGGTGTGAACACGAACACCGTTAACCAGATGACGCTGCACACTCGCCGTACCACCGTGAGGAGGCTGCTATTTCAGGGTCTGCGAACTCAGGCTCGACTCTATCATGTGGCTCTTCCTGCCGCTTCACTGTACAATCTCTGCGGGTATTGTTGCCACCATGGTTGCTATCCAAGCTGATGTTAATTCTGTTGGCCGACTACTTCTCGAATACTCAATTCAGATGTTTGGGCACCTCGGTTGTTATGGGGGGTGACAGTACGCCAGCCGACCTCTGGGCAGCCTTGCGAAGATCTGTACCTTGGGAGCTTGAACAAGCGAGAGTGTACTGGAAGCAAGTTTCTGAAGCTCGAGTTCGAATCGCTGGAAGGGGGCGTGGAGCCCGGGGGGGGGTCATATATCGAGTAAGCCTGTCTGCCTGGCGCTGTTACATATGCGCTGATCACTGCCTACAGGGCTTGAAATGCATACGAACTCAGCACATCGAGACATATGATCATATCTACATTCGAATGGTCGCCTGTGACAGTAATGAAGAAACGTACATCGACATGTGGCAGAAAGAGTATCCGACCAGCTGTCCTATCCTCGTCCCGCTCTGCATGTGCACGTATCCACGGGCGGTAGGCGGGGAATCTGGAAGCCGTCGCTTTCTCCTCTTCGAGCAGCTGAAGCCAAACTTTCTCACCACCACTATCAGTCCGATAGACTCAAACAGCTACAAAGAGCTGCGTGCCAAGACGATCACACTCCTTGAGGTGTGGGATATCTTCGCACAACTAATTGCAGCAAGCAGGCGCGCTTGGTGTTTCACAAAAATGCTTATATTCCCCACCTCCAGTGTTGTTGCAAAATTCACAAGGCGGGTCTGCTTCACGGGGTACGCCCTTTTTCTGGTCGCAACACAGTAGAGTAACCCGTACGCTTGGCATTTCTTCGGAAGGACATCCATCACGGGAATATTTTGGTTCAGGAGGATCCCGATATGCAATCAGGCAAACGGTACCTCCTCATCGACCTCGATCGTATGCTAATCCACACCGACCCGCTTGACAATGGACTTCCTCTGTGAGAGCTTTTTTGGCCCTTATCAAAAAGTAGGTTCTGTCGGCCGCCTCCCAGTCAAGCTGATGCGTGCTGCCCGTCGAGTAGAGTGTCGTCGTGAAATACTTTCCGGAAATACCTCGCTTACTTTTAGGAATGAAGCACTGCACCGTGTCACTCGAGGAGACACAAGCCCGTGTCATGCAGATCCATGACAGGTATCTCCAGATCGCACATGCAAACGCAAGCGTCGATATTCCTTATCCAGTGGCACAAGGGGAATTTGAGAGGGAGGTGTCATGGGAGTCCTGTCCTAGTATCTTATGGGTATACACATACGGTCGGAACAATGAAATGTTGGTGCCAGCGGGGGAACATGTTCCCACATTGCCTGCCTCTTTCGGCGTGGAATCCCAATCCTGTGGTATTCTGGTGTACGGCAAGTGAGGTGGCATAAACGTTTTGGTACGCACGGGTACGATACCAAATAGGGCAAGAGCCGCTGCTGGTAGGCACATACGAGAGCCCTACCTGTCACTCTACTTCTGCACCGTCTCTTGCCCCTGTCGCCCGTTGCTGTCACGCCCATCCTCTTTGGCTCAGCCCAACTCAATCATGTCCACTGTAGGCAACGTCGCTCGGTCAATGGCTGCGTTGTCGCAGAACGAGCAGGCGGAGGTCCACCGCCGCGTCACGCTTTCCGATCGAATCAAGACACACCTGTCGAGCATCCAAGCCAATTGGCTCCGACCCGGGGCGCAACGCCAGTCGTTTTGGGGGGCTGACGGCTTCCAAGCGACAAAGGGACCACTCGGTCTAGCCGCGTACGACTGGACGATCACCGGTAACGGCCTCAGAGCCGTCATCTCGCCCAAGACTAAACATTAGCTGATGCCAACAGTGAAAGACGTTCACGTCTGGCACAGGTCTAACCTGGGCTCAGCTCGCGAACCTCATCGCTGACAAAGTGTTGGAGAATGGCTTTATGGTCGAGTTGGTCGTGGTGAGCATTCACGAATGAGTGGACTCTCTGGGGAAAAATCAGTATCGAATAACCTGCATCTGTGCACACGTGATGGTCATATCCTCTTCAACAACATGTGCAGTTCCGAGACATTTACACGGGCGCGAAGACTCGTGAATGTGGATGTCCGATCGGTACTCGGCTTAAAAGGAGACGGCTGAATGTAAGGACATGCCAGTGGTGGAGCTGATGCAAACGAAATCATTTCAAATCCTCTTTCATTGACCTGAGCTGCTGAGTACCAACGAAGACAGGACTCTAACACACGAGATTTAACTACAGTATCTATTTCTGTTGTCCGTCTGCATGCGCATCCAAGAGTTCTCAGTCGAGGTCAAATTCGACGTCGGTCTTGTCATCGAGAGAACGCTCGATCACCCAGTCTTTCGGTTTCTTTACGGATTTGATCTTGTCTCCGCAATTCTGATACTTCGAGTTGCACGGCTTCTGGAGCTTTACGCGCCTTTCGAGACCATGGTCCTCTTCGTCGAACGAGCGACCCTCAAGCGTATCCAGGGTAGGGTTCCCAAGAGACATGGCACTGCCAACGGTGGCAATAGCGATTAAGGCGACAGTGCTGTAAGTGTTGAACAACATCGTGATCGAAAAGGGGTGGTCGCGACGATTTGGAAGTGAGGGAAAGTGATTAGTCCAGAGTGTCCTGACCGGCAGGGGTGTGAGTTGAGGAGAGTGGATCAGGCGATTTGCGAGTGTCCGGCACTACGTGAGGTAGAGAACGTCGCGGATGCGAGCGTTTTATAGTCTGGTGCGGAACTCTGGGAGTGACAGAAACGTTTGCACCTGGTAGACAGATATGGAATGAATCCAGTACAGCCGCAACATTGAAATATATTTCCTCCGTGTTGGAGTTGGTATGAAATGTTCGAACGGTCGATCTCCTCGAGGTAGCAGCGTCACACGATTGAATTGTTGCGCAACTAGGTTCCTTTAGTAATGTGATCGTGTTGGAAACTGTTGGGTTTCGGACCCGGGACATACACCGGAAATATAAAGGCGAAGATGACACTGTTTGTATGTTAGAACGAATGAATTATCTCTGATATGTTAGTCTGTTTTATCAGTGTTGCGCAGAAGATACTCAGCCTGAGACATGTTCTGCCAAGGGACTATCATGATAATTTGATCGTGTGATCACAGCCGCGGCTCTGTGTGACCGGCGAGGCTGTGAATATAATGAATATTAATATATTGCCTCTCCGGCTTCCAACTGCCTCCGGCTGGAGGTTTTGTTCGCGATCAGTTTCAACTTTCGTGTTGTCTTCTCTTTTCCGACGGGGTCATAAGTTGTGTATTGGTTGTTGTCGTCGTGCTTCCCTCGGCAGCCATTCTCTGGGATGATGTTGGCTGCCGTACGTTCCTCCGGGCTTGTCAAACACCCCCGATCTGTATCCTCCCAACTGGTGCCCAGTGATTTTGATAGCACAGGAGTCACTCGATCGTCGCGATTCACCCTATCCATTAATTTAGTATAGACCTACTCACTGAGAACCAGAATCGGGCCCCGAATCACCAACAACACTTTACACATCTACTAGGACTCAGTAGTACGCATGTGCCCGTTAACTTAGTTCGACCCTCGTTCGCTTCCTCGTGAGTAAGCGGTACCGGCGGGTATTGCACGCGTTCAGCAAAACTCCAGAGAAGATCGTCATTGGCACCCGTGGAACCGCAGTGATGCTCAATCGAAGAACGCTAGCCTCCACTTCATCTCGCGCACTCTCAAGGAGCTTTCGCACTCAAGGTCCCCTCATACCCACTGACGTCTCTGCTCGTGCGCACACCGCAAGGGTTGCTCAATGCAGCGCGTTTTCCCTGTGGAGAGAGCCGGCGGAGAGAGCCGGCGGATTCCCTCTCTTGCTGCGCACACAGCCATGCTCGATCTGCTGCCAGATGGTCCTGTAAACGACGTGACTGATTCAGCGAGGAGGCTAGAGTCATTCAAGGTGATGCTCGACGTTCTGGCCTTGCAAGATCCAGAGTGCCCGTGATGGACTTGGATAACCCACGCTCTCAGGAAAGGCCAGATAGTGCAGTGGTAGCGCACCTGAGTACAAACCAGGAGGCCCCGGGTTCGATTCCCCGGTCTAGCCAGTATGTTTGATTTCTGTCAGCCCGTTCCCGGGTGTCTTTATCCATGCTCCAGTACGAACGACGGCTGTCATGTGGAGCGTGTTTGTGCTTATTCCGCCGCGGTAACAGATCATAGAGCGCGTCGACGACTCTGCTCCCACTTCGCTCTTCATCCACACCGAGATTGTCCCTCGAATACTTGCCCCTTGCATGGCGGCCAAACTTCACGATTCCACCGAGACGGACAACAAGAACTGCACCGTGGTGGTCATGTGCCTTGGAAAGAAAGTCGTGACGAGAATTCATCCCGAGCGCACCAAGGATGATCGGCTGCCGTGCGTACTCGGACTTGCGGGTCAGAAGTAAGTTGAGAACTGGAGTGCTGGGTTTATATTCTACTAGAGGCGAGGCAAATTTTGTACATTATTACTGGAACCCATCAGAACTTCGGCAAGATTAGCAATGAGTGCATGGTGCATGGACATTACATTGACCGACATCTCTCGGAGGTATGTTCGGCACGTCGGCACCGAGCTATCCCCCCGGCGCGCCTGGTTGGCATTCTGCCTTCTCCCTATCTTGCAAATGCAGACATTAGGCTTTCGTCACTCAGATTATCAGCCACATCAAACTTTCTGCTCTTTTCTACTTTGGTCTATTACGACTGCTGGCGCGACTGCAATTGAATTCGGCCAAAACCTGCCATGAGGGCAACGCGGCATGCAGTCGATGTTGAGCAATCCCTTATCGGCTTTCGTCTTCCCTTTATCAGTGCAGCTGGGCTGAGAGAGCCCACACTATGCAACGTGGGCTTCGGTGACATTTCAGCTGATTGGACATGACATCGTCGGAAGACCATGTGCAGCACACTACGCAAAGTATCAATTTTTGACGGCCGTCTCACCGCTCTTGAGGCTGTATGGGCGTATGGATCTTTGCGGCGAAGGGACATTCTTTCTACCGCCGGCGGAAGGATGTTTGATACCACTGGTTATCGTTGATATCTGCTATAACACGCTGTCCCGTGTCAATTTGATGGGTCGACTGAGCAAGGTACATAAATTGGCGTCTTCTGTGCCCGGTAGCTCCTTGTGCAGTGATCTCTCTGTCTATCCACCTCCCGTCTCCTCTTTCCCCTCCTGAAATGCACGGCGATCTCAGTCTGCTTTTCCTATGCCTGGCTCCGTTTCTTGTACTAGCGAGCCCGTCAGGCAAGCTCATGTCTCGGTTCATCCCTCAACATCCTCCCAAACACTACAGCTGGCCGCTCGCACCACGCATCACGATCATCAGCATGTTCACCCCAGAAGAGGGCGCGTGGCTCGTGCCCCTCGACCTGAAGTACAATATCTCCGTTCCCGGACTATCCATGCTATATCCGCATGTCCACTGCGATGATAAAGGCTGGATCTGTCAGATGACGACAGGCGAGAGTGAGATCAACGCCGCGGCATCCACCACTGCACTCTTCTTCTCCCCTTATTTCGATTTCACGAGCACGTACTTCATGATCGTCGGCATCGCGGGCGGTAATCCGTACTATACGACAACTGGGAGCGCAGCGTTCGCGGTACTCAGTCCAGGTGGCACTCAGCTACGAAATCGACCCGCGTGAATTGCCCAGCAACTGGACCACAGGCTATTTCGGCTTCGGCACTACCGCGCCAGATATGTACCCTGGCATGTCCAACTGGTATGGTACCGAAGTGTTCGAACTCAACACCAACTTGCTGGCGAGGGTGATGGATGTGGTCAAGGATGTCAAATTGAATGACACAGCGGACGCGGCGGCATTCGCCCCGGCTAACCTCCCCCCGACGATCGTGCAATGTGATGTCGCCACTAGTGATGTGTGGTTCTCTGGTGCGATGCTGAGCGAAGCGATGGGGAATATTACGGAGATCTGGACGTGAGTATCATCTTTGTACTCAAGTTGCCTGGTATCAACGTCTTCTATCCCAGTAACGGTACCGGCAAGTATTGCACGACCGCTGAAGAAGATAATGCGACTCTTGAATCTGCAGTCCGAGCCCACCTTGCAGGGATGGTTGACTACAGCCGGTTCATCCTCCTCCGCACGGTATCCGACTTTGATCGCCAACCACCCAATGTAACTGCGTACGACTCTCTCACTGGGCCCCAGGGAGGGTTCGAGGTGGCAATCACGAACATCTTTTCTTGCGCGTTTCGTGGCTGTCGCCTGGAGCTTGGATCGATCTGAGAGACTGCTTTTGGAGGGTTGGATTGGCTGGAGTCACTCTGAAAAGTGCATGCACCTGTAGGGCGAGGGGTGCGCTCAGAAGCGGTTGCAAGGGTACGGCCGCCCTCCCGTTCTTCCCATTCATTTCGACGAAGCCCAGGGCGCGAGCAGCGTCGAGAATCGTCTCTACTTGATTGCTCGATTTATCATGGTGTTCAAGGGAGGCGCTCGAAGAGACAACGCTGCCGGAAGTGACAGGCACCAGTTTCTTCATGAAAACATCGTACACTGACTTTGTGACAAACACAACGTCAGGCTTCCGATCCCCCATCCCATGAGCGAGTATTCTTCTGTCCAATAGCCAAGAATCGATTATTATCGCCCTCGATACCCAGGCGATCGATAATGGCATTAACCAGCTCGCAGAACAGCACGTAGGCTTGTGGCTCGAGTGATTGCCTGAGATAATTCTCCTCTAGGCGCTTAAGCTCTTCATCCTCCGAGAACGTCTGTGCGAGATCCCGTGCTAACCCTTGGCGCTCTAGCAGTTGCGCATCATCAAGGTCAAAGATGGATTGCAGGATGTCTTCAACGGAGCAGTTGTGATACAACGCGTGCCCTAACTCGTCGCGAACGACACCATCCAATGTCATGTGCGTGTGTTTTGTAGTTGTTATCCCGCTAGTCGATGATCTCATAGGCGTGCTAGAGATCTGGGCAGAAGAGACAGTCGATTTGGTGACGGCAGATAGACGCGTCTCAGCGAATACCGATCTACTGCTAGTGGCGGATGCGCGACTGCCGGTGGTGATGGTCGATGGTGATGCCATGGCAGGGGTTATGTGTTTGAAGGTAGAGACAGTACAGCATGCAGTCGATCACCGTCTATTCGTCACCGAGAAGTCAAATGGAGAAGGGGTCGTCAAGTGTAGAACTAGCTGAGAAGAAAGGGCGTGCAAAGTAGAGTAATGACAGAGGGAGGGGATAAGTTGAGACGCGCACAAAAAGTGTAGGGTTTGAACAACCACGTGACTCATAAGCGCCCATTAGTGCTGGCGCAGGCTCAGGGTCAACCTGGCTGCGCTTGACGAGGGTTTCAAACACCATGGACGGACTCGATATCCCAGAAGATAAAACGCAAGCGGAAGAGTGTTGCTGAAGGCTCGGAGAAAAGGGAGATTGCGTTCAGTGTGTTTGGCCCGGTTGGCGTGGCGGAGTGGAGGATCATGAACCGGTTAAAACGATGGAGGATTTCGATGAGTATGCTTTCGACTTTTCTGGTCAGTTTCGAGGGCTTATGTGAAGTAGGCTGGTCGATGCTCTCAAAGCGGCTACCGATGATGGTGTTCAACCGAAGATGATATCCAAGGGCTCCTCGGGGTCTTACTTCGCCCGTGCGAAGGTCGATGGGCAGATCAAGACTGTCGGCGTGTTCAAGCCAAAGGATGAAGAACCGTATGGCAAAATCAACCCGAAACTGGTTAAGTGGCTTCATCTCAACTTGTTCTAGTGGATCGGCTGGGGGAGAGCCTGATAGCCTGATCCCGAATCTCTCATATATATCAGAGGCAGCCGCTTGCCTGCTTGACGAGCGTCTGCACCTGTACATTGTCCCCCAGACCGGCCTCGCTTCTCTCAGCATCCCGTCCTTTTCCTGCGATTGGATCGACCGGTCTGCGTATCGACAGGGCAAGGCCCTTCCGCGGAAAATCGGCTCCCTACAGGCGTTCATGCACGGATACCGTGACGCCTCCGAATATTTCCGGCAACACCCGCTAGGGGACAACTACGATTCCGAAGCTCACCGAACGGGCATGATCACGAAGAGGTTTTGGAGTGCGATGGGTGTCGTCTGTGGGCGAGCAGGCGACTTGGATGAGCTGGAGAATGAGGAATGGGCGGAAGAGCAGAGTAAGGGATATAGGGAGATGGAGGAACAAGGGCAGAATGGGTTCGCTTGGACCCAAGAGAATGCCGCAAGTTTCCAGGACGAGTTGGAGAGACTAGTCGTCCTGGATTACTTGATGAGGAATACGGATCGGGGACTGGATGACTTTGTGCGTATATCAACAAGGGCGAATGTTCACTGACTGGAGAAATAGATGATCAAATATTGTGATTATCAGCATTGCCCCCTCTCGTTCTGTCGGACCTAGAGTGCCCAACGCTACACCGAGTTCCACGCCTCAAATGAGGCAAGCGGCCGCGTTCGGTGTAGACGGCTCACCTAACCCTTCCGCCTCTTCCTCTTCCAAGCCTGAGCCATTCACGGCCCGCCCTCATCGCCGCAATCCACAACTCGCTCTCATTCCCACACCAGCATCCGAGAGTATGGAGAAGTTATCCGTATGGCTGGCTTTTCTCGAGCGAACGAGTCTCACGTGACTCCGAAAGCGGATGTAGCGGGAGCTAATCCCTCCGTTGTCGGAATGACTGAAATGGCCCTTGAGCGGGGCCAAAATTCCTCAAGTGGCCCCTTCGGACTCAATCGTTCCATAAGAATCAACAAAAGGGAGTAGAATTAATTAATATTGATAGAGGTAACGAGAAGGCCAACGGAACTGGTGGCGTGCGGGATTGGGATCGGCACAAAGCCGGGCTGATTAGTAGACTAGTAAAAATGAGGACGAAACCTCGGGATGTCGTGCCCCAGTACAATTGAATACGAGGTATGATGAACCGGTATGAAATCGCAGCAAGCTAATTACGAAAGCGGCGCACATTGGATGATGAATAACGAGAGAAGTGGACGATCATGGCTTGGGTCGCCCAAAATGCAGTGATTGTGGCTGTGTTTACAATGATTCTGACGTCAGCCAGATACGGGCATGGGGCAAACACACCTTTGAGCACGCTGCCCTGTCCCTTGCCTCGTCCTTCTCTCGACCATCCAGCTTCGGTCTAGTCATATCCACACGCTATATTCTACTAGAACTATTCATATCTCTTATCATTTTGATTGTCTTCCCTGAAAGGGCCAATACACACGCGGAATCATGGTCTTCGGCAAGTCGAAGGAATCCACCCCAACGGGAACTCCGTTAGAGCAAGAGCCGACAGAAGACGCCGCTGTTCCTCCAGCCCAAGTGAGTCCCCTTCCTACACTCGCCCACTGGACGATGTCTGTGGGTCAGGAACCAAGACCGCAACGCTGATCAGTCGCATCATCATCATCGTTGTCCTCTGAAACACAAGAAGTCGAGCTGGACATCTTTTGTAAAGCAGTACGTGAATCCTTTCCTCGTGTCCTCCAGGGATCCTTACATAAGCTCCACAATAGGGTCGCCTCTTTCTCTGGAGATCTCTCGAGCCTCACCGCACCACCCTTCATCCTCTCCCCAGTATCTCTAACCGAGTTTCCAGGTGCGTTCCAGTATGCTGACAGACGTATCCTTCAGGCTGACGGATGCTGAAGCATACTGGGGTGAGCGGCCTGAGTTATTCTCGTCTATCTCGGACGGCGTCGACGAGGAGGATCGGTCTGTGCGAGTATTGAAATGGTTCATTGTGCGTGTCCTTGTTTATCCTCTGCTTGTATGTTGCCGATATTGGGTAGGCGACGCTCAAGGGGCAATATACGTCACGTAATGAGAAGATGGGGTCTGAAAAGAAGTATGGGATTGCGTTCAGAGTATTGTCTTTCCTCACTCATGCCGTTCGCAGGCCACTTAACCCTGTCCTTGGCGAACTCTTCTTCGGCGAATGGCCCGAGACATCCACCCGGGGGAAGACGTCCCTCACCGTCGAGCAAGTCTCTCATCATCCACCGGTGACTGCGTACCGTATGTACAACGCCAAGGCCGGTGTCGAGCTGGTTGGGTTTTCCGGACAGAAGACAAGCTTCTCTAGTGGAAGCATCATCGTCAAGCAGACTGGACACGCGGTCTTGACCATTCATGGACTGCCAGAGGGGAAGGAGCAGTATCTTATCACCTTGCCTCGGTTGAGGATCGACGGTATCTGGTACGGGAGTCCGTACATAGAACTCAGTGATTCTAGTTTCATTCAATGCGACAACGGCTGGTTCAGCTCAGTACGTATCATACACATCGAAACAAACCCATGTATGCTGACATATTCTGTTCACAGATCGAGTACAAGGGGAAGGGGTATTTCTCCGGTAAGCCCCATACTTTCAAGGCAACACTCCTTCCACCCGAGAACCACCCCCAACCTTCCGAGCACACGCACATCATGGAAGGGACGTGGCACGAGACATCCACATATAGCAAGACGTCTGGTTTCCAGCCCGAGCTGATCGGGACACCCTACTTCACCGATGTCCGAGGACCGAAGGAGGAGATCAGTGTGAAACCGGAAAGTGAGCAGGGAGAGTGGGAGAGCCGCAGGCTATGGAAGAAGGTTGCCGATGGCATTAAGAATGGAGATTATGATGTTGCCAGCAGAGAGAAGACCAAGATTGAGGTAATTCCACCCGTCATAACCCGGCCAAAATAGCGAGACTGACGGGTTTGAAGAACTCACAGCGCCAGATGCGGAAAGACGAGATTGCCGCGGGCACTAGATGGGAGCTCAAGTACTTCGAAAAGATACCAGAGGACGAACTATGTGCGTCTTCCCGTTCTTCTGATCCTTTAGCACCCGAACTGAACCTACAATGTGCTAGACGAGCGCCTCGCGGCGATGTACGATGGCCAACCGCCGACGGAAGAAATGTACATCTACAAGGGGCCTGATGCGCTGAAGGATTAGGAATGTCCTGCGATGCGATATGATGTTCCGCACGCACGCATGGGTGGAGGGCCCCCACGGGATCCGGGTCGTGACTTGGCCGGAAACGTACGCTGAGGTATGTGGCCCTGTGTGGTAAGGCTTCGATGGGCATTACGAATGTACGGCCACGGCCCGCTTACCTGCTGTATTGTTACCCTTTTGTCTGGAAAAAAGACAGTCATCTAAATATACATGCGTGGAAGCCTGGGAGGACAGACGGTCCTGTTTCCTGCCGCTGATCGGTCGTACTTGCGAGGCCGGGTGGGGGGATGATACCCTCTGATCTCGGCCACAACCAATAAAGGCGGCCAGCGTGACCCTTCACCGCATATCAGCATCATCCTGCAGCTGAGCATGATCCACCCCAGAGTGGCCATCGAATAGCGAGGTAAGCCCGAACATGACCCCGCTCCGCAAGTGGCAGGGAGGTGAGGAGGACCCAGAGGGTTGGAACTGGAAGCATGTAGGTCACGATCGTCTACCCGATTGGAAGCAGGTGTCGGCGAGAACGGGAATGAGGATGTGGGGGTGTTGCCACTTGTGGAAAGGCCTGTGGCAAACTACTGTGTAAGGGCATCTGTTTGGTTGTCAGAATGGCCAAGACGGGAGAATGAGGGCGTACCAGCGCAACAAGTCATCATTACCTCTCCAGGATCGGTAGGGGAGTCGGGAAGGAAGGTGGCAGCTGGAGCCCACTACAGGTTTGGTTCACTCCTTTTAGAGAGCGGGTGTCGGGACGCTCTGATGGGAGGTCTGGGTGATCCGGTATGGACATCTGGTACGCAGCCATCAGCTTAGGAGGGTGACGTCAGTGGCGGGGCGAGCATCGAGCGTTGAGAGATACTTGTGGTTAGGGGTGGGTTGAGCTGGAAAGACGTGTGGATCGGGCAGGTCGGGGAGTCGGATGGACTGTGGTGGTGCACTTTGGAAAGAGCTGGTCTGCGTAGATGCTTGGTGGAGGCGGTGACAGATGGCCGCTGAGTGCAGGTTTAGCTGTTCGGTGCAAGTGATGCAGTAAGGCGGAAAGCAGAGAAGTTGACTTGACAAGGTTTGAACCAGGGCACCTTTCGAGCCGATGTACAAGAGTTTTACAGTCCAACGACACACAGAGGAAAGCGGCACCGCGCATCGACCATGTTGCGCTTGTGGGAATGGCCGGAAACCGCCCATTCCTCGGTTGGGGTGTGGGGATCAGAATATGGCGGCAGAGTGTTGCTGGATATAGCACCCGTCCATGCAGGGAGGATGTGGGTAGCCCGATGCTGAGCGAGTGAGAACTTGTTTGACTGTTTTACAATGGCGTCCAATATCGTACCAGCTACGAGGAGTGGAAAAGAACTGGACTGATTGGGTTGTGCGTTTGCGGCGAATCGGAACTATTGCTCCTTCGGCCGGTCGTTCATCGGCGGAGGTGCAACTTTCGCGTAAGTTGCCGCTGCCAGACTCGTGCTGCCGCTCTGGATCCCGGGTGATATCACTCCCTTGGTACGCCGGCGCTACCAAGGGTCAATTTGGACAACACCGACGCGAGATCAGTTAGCAACCCCAGACGTTCACGAGGGGAAGCGTGCGGCGCGGAACCTGTTCGACGGTCCTACGTCGACCTAACTCCCAGAGATGATGCATGGTAAGGGTAGGTGCCAGGGGAGAGACTAAGGAGGTGGCGTCGGTGCCGGGCGGCAGATGGGTGATGGGTGATGTATCATTTCCCCGGCCGGGGGAGGGGAGCTTTGTTTCCCAACTTGCAGCGAGAGGGTTTGCTTTTCCGTGCGGGAAGCCCAAAAGGGTAAAAAGCAACATCGTTCCGGCTCAGGGGACGTTCTGGTGTGTGGCTATGCCGGTTCCTCGGACCCGGGAGACTGAAGGGTCCGGTTGGTTCACTCTTTGAAGCGTGTGGCAACTCCTGTGCACGTGAAACTGGCTCGGTAAGAGAGAGATGAGACATCGGCGATCGTAGCGTTCAACGGTGACGAAGTGTGTGACGTCCGTGACGTCTTTCATCGACGACTCTCTCATCGACGACGACCAACGTTCACTCTCTCCCCTGACACGACACAGAGCGCATACATCTAGCATGGGCTTATATAAATCACAGGACCACACACGTCTCCACGTCCTCCCTCTTCCTTACCCCCCTCTCCTCCTTCCCCACGCAAGGCTCACTCTCCCAATCCCGCATGTGGTCGCACAAGCCCTCGTCGAACTCTTACGCGACTCTCAGTCAGCAGGTCTACCCAGTTCACTCGTCATAGCGGCAGTGCCTGTGCCTCCTCCTGCTGGCACAGCGGGAGAAGGGGATGACCTGGGCTTGGGATGGGGAGTAGAGGACGGGAGAAGGCTGCACACGACAGGAGTCAGTGCTAGCCTCGTAAGGCTCTCACTCGGATCAGGCCAAGTCGACGTCCTCACTCTGCAAGGGATCTCTCGCCTGCATCTTCCCGATCCGCCTCAGACACCGCTGGACCCCCTCCCCGTGCACAGGGTCAAGTTCCCCCGTGTTTCGGGAGAATCGGTGGACCCCGCAAAGTTCGAGGAATGGAGGGAGAAGGCACTCAGGGTCGTTAGTGGTAGGGAGAGGGATGCGGAGAGGAGGGAAGGGAAAGAGGGTTCAGCAAGGGCATGGGCGAGGCTCGGAGAGATTGTAGCTGGTGTGGGCGTCGAACGCGCAGGCTGGGCTGTGGACGTACTTATGGGCGCGGTGGGTATGAGCTACGAGGATTCACTGAGTGCGTGATGGTGTTCTTTGTGCTATGGCAATCTGGCGACTGATACAATGCAGAGATCCTCGAGTGCGTTTCGATTCCTGAGCGCATTATTCTCTCTACCAAGCTGCTCGCCAAGCCTCTGCCCGATACGTCGAATGCCATCATCCGGAATCCTAGCTCTATACGAGAACAACTGGCTTCTCTCTCGCGTGCGCTCGCTTCCCTGTCCTCTTCGGGAACTTCGTCTCCCACTTCTCCTTCCACGCGTTCTGTCGCGTCGGGACAGGAGGCTCCGAAATCAGAGCTGGACGAAGATGTGCAGGGAGAAGACGAACTGGCCGACATCAAGCGGCAAATTGAGGCTTTGGTAAAAGGGAGCGAGGAGAGGAAAGCGGGAGTGAGGGAATGGAGGAGGCTTAGAATGATTCCTCCTGGCAGTGTGGAGACAGGCGTTATTAGAGGCTATGTGCGTCTGCCCTCCTTTTATGTTCATCGCTTTACCTGCAGCCAAGCTGACATGATCTGCCTAGCTTGAATGGCTGACGAGTCTGCCTTGGCCGGTCGAAGACCTCGCCGCACAGGGAGCAGAACACAGCGCCCTGGTTGACCCGGAATTCGTCTCAAAGGCAAGGGAAATACTGGAGAAGGAACATTACGGGCTGGATAAAATCAAGAGAAGGTTGATGGAGTATCTTGTGGTGCTGCGACTAAAGGCACTGTCTCATTCAAGCGTAACCTCGACTAGAGTCGTTGCCCAACCCAATTCTCCCCCGGATGCGCAGGCAGAACCTCTCTCTGCTACCCCCGCAAAGGCCACAGCGATCAAAGCTCCCATCCTGCTACTCGTCGGCCCTCCAGGCACGGGGAAGACATCAATTGCCTCTTCACTCGCTCGCGCCCTTCGCCGTCCCTTCGAGCGCATCTCCCTCGGTGGTGTCAGAGACGAAGCGTCCATCCGCGGCCACAGGCGGACATACGTCGCTTCCGGCCCAGGGATGATCATTTCAGCTCTGCGCAGGGCAGGGCGTCGGGATGCCGTCATTTTACTGGACGAAGTCGACAAGCTTGCCGGCAAAGGCGGGGTGATGGGCGACCCTGCAGCAGCGTTACTCGAAGTTCTTGATCCGGAGCAGAACGCAAAATTCGTCGACCACTACCTTGGGATCCCGTTCGATCTCTCTCAAGTCACTTGGCTCGCTACGGCCAACACACTCGACGGAATCTCCGCCCCTTTGTTAGACAGATGCGAAGTCATCCGTTTGTCGGGGTACACGGGCGCAGAGAAGCTGCACATTGCCCAGCGGTATCTGGTGCCCAAGCAGCTCACACAGAACGGGCTCAGTGACCAGGAATGTGTTGTCCCGGAAGAGACGGTCAAAGCCGTCGTCAGGGGTTGGACGAGGGAAGCGGGCGTCAGGGGTTTGGAGAGACAGATCGGGGCTGTCGTGAGGTGGAAAGCGGTGGAGCTTTCGGAGTCTGGCGTACCGGTTCATCAGGGGGAGAGCAAGGGTGGAAACAAGAAGTCCTATGACCCTGTCGTTAGACCTGAACAACTGCAGACAATCCTCGGCCTGGGAAAGGATGACCATTCGGAGCTAGATCGCACGGAGAAGGTCGGGGTTGTGTGGGGGATGGTGTACACCGGCGAAGGGGAGGGAGGCCTGCTGAGCGTCGAGACTGTTCGGGTGCCGGGAGATGGTAAACTCAGGTTGACCGGCAGCCTAGGCGAGGTCATCAGAGAGAGTGGGGAGATTGCGCTCAGTTGGGTTGGTATCTGTTTCTCAGTTCTGCCACGTATGTTGCTGATGGGTGTGATGAATTCTAGGTCAAATCCCATGCTTTCGAGCTCGGTATCACGGCTTCTCCCTCGCAAGATCCACTCAAAGAGCCCGACTCGATCGATATCCACCTGCATCTTCCAGCGGGTGCGACGCGCAAAGACGGGCCCAGTGCGGGGATCGCTATGGTCTGCGCGTTCGTTTCTCTTCTCACGGGCCGCGTCGTCCCTTCCAGCATCGCGATGACCGGCGAGCTTACCCTTCGTGGGCAGGTCGACCCCGTCGGAGGGATCAAGGAGAAAGTGCTAGGTGCACACAGGGCGGGAATCAAGAAAGTCGTCATGCCCGGCAGGAACCGAAGAGACGTCGAGATGGACGTCGCTCCCGAAGTGAGGAAGCAACTTGAGTTTGTGTATGTCGAGACGGTGGAAGACGTTCTAGAGGCCGCGTTTGGCAAGGGCGTGTTTTGGAAAGGACATGCTTTTGTCGAGAGCAGGCTGTAGGTTGCGTGGCTGCGTTCGTCCTGTTTATGCGCAAGTGTACTATTCAATCAAGATAATCCATCTTTTCCCTTGTTCTGCGGGCGTTCTCTATGTTCGCTTCATTGGGCCTCGCCGGGCCAAGGCTACAGGTTACGCCGTCAATTGTGGCACAGATTTGGTTACAACTATCGTTCGCAGTGAGAGATCGAAGCAGCGTTTCTGTCAGTACTCATGGTTAGAAACGGCCACACCTTGTTGGCAACCTCTAGACGGTTGTGTGTCCCATAATATGGGCGTGGACTCGGAGTCTGAAGTTTGGCCACCTGTGATGGAGGTCAATCCAGCGACTGTCAGGCAGCATTTCAACTCACATGCTGTATAACAGATAGCCATCGACCGTCCAAAGCTTGTCCAGTGCCTCTTTCTTGCGAAGAGGGGATATGTCTGCACCGCGGACACTAGAGCGGGAAATGTGGTGGGGATACAATGTCTCTGGCAAGATTACCTCGTTCAGTCAATGTGACCTGTTGTTGGACCAGAATCGCTCTCGGATCTTGGGATAGAGTAGGGAAAGAGGTTGTTCCCCCTATCGAGTCGTACAACCACATCGGGGCCCTCTGCATGCCGGAAGTGGCAAACTGGGAGTTTGCCGGTTGGAACGTTATTCAGCTGGTCCAATGGTGCCATGCTCATCTTTTTCAGATATGAAAAAAATTCCAATTGAAGGCCTAATCTCTCATTGTTCACCTGAGACTTGATGGAACGAAGTGCGGCCACAATCTGGTCCATACTGGTGTTTGTGGCGCCGTCGCACGGGAAGATGGGAACATCGGGCTCGGCCCATATTAGCTTGGCTAGCTCTGGTCCGAGGAGATACCACTCACAAGAAGTCTAAGATAGTCGTATCGGAACCTCATTTGAAGAAATTGTCGAAGCGAAGTTACCGGTTCTTTCTCGGTACTCGGCTAGAATACGATTATCTTGTCGAAGCCCTCCTTGCACGTACACTGTCCTCGCTGGAATTGTCCTCCTCACTTACCTCTTTTGGCCGTATAGTTCAGAACCTGTTGGAAAACTGGTTGTTCCTGAGTATAACCCATTTACGCTGTACGGACCGTGGACCGAGCCTGATTGCGGCAATCTCCGTGTTTGTGCCTGCCCAGTACTCACCAGGGTCCACGCAAGAAAACAGAGAGTCCGCGGGCGAGCCATAGCAAGCTGATGTTGTTGGCATGTCACTGTCAACTGGATGGCTGTTGACAATTACCATAGGTAGCAGGAGGGGCGGGGTGTGGCGACCGCGATCCTTTGTGCCAGCAGCCGCGGCTGGCGTAAGCGAGATTATGTAACGAATCATGAAGACGCAGCTGATATTTTGTGCATTATCTTCCTTCGTAATTAGATTTACAGACACAGGTTGGAAGGCGATCCGGAAAGAGGGCAATAAATCAACAAATGATGGTCAAGAAAGAAGAGAACGATTGAGAGTCCGACGGCGCTATGTGGCGGCGAAGCACGCGTCGCGCGTTTGATACGGCGTAGTCGTCGTCCCCTGTCTTCCGACGACGGCGACCGACCGACCTTCGCGACTTGCTCAACTCTCAGTGCTCTCTTCTGCTCTTCCACCTTCTTGCTGAAGAACGTCTAACAAATTGCACTGGTCTGACCGTCGCTCGTCTCAGCGTTCATCATGTTCGGAGCATCGACGCTTTGTGCGCGCTGTAATAAGCCCTGTTACGCCGCGGAGCAAGTACGTAATGACCCTCCTCGAAGCCTTCCCTATTCAGCTGACAATGCACTGTGTTGCCGCTTGCCAGGTAATGGGCCCCGGCCGAAAGGTAATTTTGATCGGACGTTATGAGATGAAGATCATCTTACGTCGTACCTCAGATCTATCACAAGCGTTGCTTGACCTGCACCGAGTGCAACAAGCGCTTGGATTCCCTGCAACTCGTGGAGCACGATCGTGAAGTACGTAATACGCACGCTCTTTGTGACCACGTCTGACAATACGCTCAGCCATACTGCAAGCCCTGTCACCTGAGACTCTTCGGCACCAGAGGTACGTTCGGCCAAAGTTCATTCATTGTCGTATTCACGAATCTTCAGATCTGCGGCACAACAACTTGACGCCCAATGGAACTCCAGATTCCCCTCCAAAGTCAACGTTGTCCCCACGAGCCGATCTCATATCCCCTCGTCTGGGGACCCCACGATTTCGTGGAGTGAGTGAGGAAGATGAGCTTGACGCACAAATCACTTCTTCCCCAATTCCGAGGAGTAGAGCGTTTCATCCAGCCAATCCGCTGCCGTCGATAGACAGTGCCGAGAATACCCCCGAGCCTATCAAATCTGCAGGATCCCGTCCTTTACCTATGATACCTTCTAGGACGGGAGATCCACCGTCCCCGACAAAGATGGTGCATCCAACTTTGACAGGGGATCTCTCCTTCCGTCCGCCAAGTCCGCCGATTTCTGCCGGGCTTCAATCACCAACGAAGCCAGATCCGGCTGTGCGGCCGACTTCCCCCCCTACTACACCACGTCGACCCATACCTATGAGCCCAGGCCGCACCGGCACATCCAGCTTCCCGCACCTACCACCGCCTGCTTCGAAGCCGCTCTTCCCGAGTGGCACAGGCAGCAGCACACCTGGATCGCCGGCCAGATTTGGTGGTGTAAGGGTGGAGTGCCCTCGGTGTGGCAAGGCAGTATACTTTGCTGAGCAGGTGAGTAACGTAACCTTACGACAGGGTTTGTGGAAATGGCAAGATCTGATCCTGTTCTCAGGTTGTTGCTGCAGGAAAGAAGTGGCACAAGAGCTGCCTGCGATGTGAAAGCTGCTCGACACAGCTCGACTCGACCAAGCTTACGGAGAGGGACGGTACGCCCTTCTGTCGCGCTTGCTACGCGAAGGTCAGTTCCAATCCCGAGCCATGCGTGTTCTCTGGAGCTCTAACAAGTTACAGAACTTCGGGCCCTCTGGTGTAGGATACGCGCTCCTTGGCAAGCTAGGGTGAACTAGTCAGCAGCTACGCAGTCGACGCACATCGATGACGTGGGCGCATCAGCTGCCGTCCGTTGCTTGTGAATATTTTGGATCTCATGCGGGAACGGCGACGAGGGATCGCGACGATGCGAGATTTTACGAAGAAGAAGACCCCTGCCGCAGAAGCGTTCGGAGTCTTTATCAGATGGACGGTGTCCCCTGCTGTATCTATTACTATTCACGGAAGCTGTCTCATTATCTTTGCTTTATGCAGTTCATCTTATTCTTATTGGCATCATACCACAGAAGGGAGGTGCCAACACACGTTTATAGCCTCTACAGCTGAGCTCCAATTGTTATTTGTGCGCCATCTATGTGCCGACGGTCGTGGGGCCGAACCTTGTGTTTGTTCAAACGGATGGCTGTGCGGTCAGATTCTAGGTTCCTGAAAACAGTGGGCCAGCAAGGGCTCTTCTCTTCATGAAGAGATAGCAGGCAGAAGCCGCAGCCCGATTTAGGAAGTTTCTGATACAACCAAGTCATTCGTGCGCACGGGTGAGCTTCTTATTCAACAGGACAGGGGAAAACAGTGATACTGGTACAAATATGAATCACGGTTGAAGAGCCGACAGGTCAAGAATCAGGAAGGAGAGCAATCGCAACGGCCAGGGATGCCAGGCGTGATAACGATATATGTGTGATAGCAATGTGATGTTGATTGGGGATGATGAGTTCTTTTCCAGCAGAGACACGGGCGCAGGTGCTCATGAATCTGGCAGGCATGAGGGCCGCCAAGCGAAAAGTGTGAGAACTGACCGTGGGCGATAGACTGAGTGGGCAGGGGGAAATCGCGAAGCGTGATACGATGTGGCGCCAGATATTCATGTGTCCCAGCTCATCAGCGAAGCGGGAGAGGATCATGCTCACGCTCCTCTCCTACCTGTTGGGCTGTCTGCATCTGCCTCCTGCTCATGACACTGTTCCAACCCCTGCTGCGGCTCCTGCCGGTCTCACGCCCAGGTAGCGTTGAGCACCAGCTCGTGCTCCAGAAGGTTGTATTCTGCGTGCGCGCCGTGCACGTCCAGATCCCGCGGAAGCGTGCTGAGAGAAGTATCGAGCGTGGCGAATGCTGGAGAGGAAAGGATAAGCCGGCGAGGCTCGAGGTCGAGGGTCGTTTTCGGGTGTTGGGCGCGAGTCTGTTGTTCGTTGGTTAGTAAGGAAGGCACGTAGGAAGATGGGTCAGTGAGGGAAGAGAAGTGCCAAGCGCAGCACAGGCGAACGGTAAGCGAGGGAGATTGTACGGAGCGTAGGGGCACAGGTGCGTCATAGGCGCAAGAAAGAGGGTAAGAGCACGTTAGACTTGCAGGGACGATGCGGGAAGAGGAAGAGAAAGGAGAGAAAAGGAGGGAAGACTTGCCAAGCTAGGAAGGCTCACGACGATGCGCACGCCCATACCGTTATCTGCCTCTTCCCAGCGCCAACTGGGCACCTGCTTCTCGCTGTCGTCTGCGTCTGCTCCCCCTGTAACAGCGGTAAGGGCGGTAGATGCAGGGCCCGGGAGCGTGGAGCTGGACGAGGAGGGATCTACCGCGAGAAAAGGCGTGTCAGGCGTGTCGGAGAGTACTTCGATCGAGCGCTTTGGGACGGGCACAGGGACGATCGCTGTACGCGGGAGAAGCACGCCTTTGCTAGCGAGCTTGGGGATGGACGCCTCTGCGACGTGGGTACAGGTCGGTTACAGATGCAGATGCACGGTGCCAAGAGGAATGGAACGACGGCGGTGGGGAGAAGAGGAAGCAAGGGGTGAGTAAAATCGCTAGGTGCGGAGGTCCGAGGAGCATACCTCGGGAAAGGGAAAGGCCTGATTTGTCCTCGACGCTGCCGATAGCGATCTCTGCAGTCCACGTATCAGATAGGTGATTAAGAGGGCTTTCACAGGCATCTCAGAACACATGGAAAATGAAAACAACGGTCGACGTGTCCATGCCCCTAGGTTCTGAAGGGTGGAATATGAATGCCCACTCACGCTTTATGAATTCGCGGAAGACTAGGTCGGATTTCGCGCGCGCGGAGAGCGACGGGTGAAAGATCGTGTCGAAGACGAGAGCTGGATGGCCGGCTGCGGGTGCGGTTCGGTCCGCTGAGGGGAAATGGAAGGAGGATAGAGGGAAATATGGTGGACGCACCTCTGTCCTCGTCCGTCCGGCCATCGCCGACAACGTGTGGCACACCCCAGGTATTCTCTTCCCCCTGCATGGCGCGCTGCTTGGTGCTTTCGGGCACGTCGGCAGGTGGCGGAATATGCTCGTCCCAGCACACGTTGATGAACGTCTTCCTCCCAGCTGGTACGTCGATGATCTCTGTTTTCCCGGTATTGGGCTGCGAAATCGCATACTGCACCGCACGGAGGACCATTGTCTTTACCACGAAGCCTGTTGGAGCGGTGAGTAATACGAACGAGGGGCGCCAAGGTGCACGCAATGCGATGCAGCCGTTGGGGCTGTCACTGATTCTGGGAATGGAACGGGTGCTTACCGGGCGTGGGTGTGAGTGTTGTACGGACGGTACGTACAATCGAGGCTGTATGTAGGAATAAGATGGAAATATGAGATTGTTTGCAGAGTGAAGGGCAAATGCGTACGGTAGGATGATGCGCGAGATTGTGAGCTCGACATTGTACTTCTTTCTTGTGTTGCTTCGTGAGAGTGTGATATCCAAGTTAGAGAAGAGAATGTATACTGAGCGAATATGTATGAGAGAGAAGGGAAATTATATGGAAGAATTGACTTGTTGATGATGGTCGGGAGAAAGGATTGAGCAGAGAGGAGAGAAGGAAGAGCAAATGGCCACACAACAGCAACAGTCACCCGTGCATGTCAATTGACACGGAATTCTCAACAGATGGATGGGCCTGTGCGTTCTTTGATATTGTTTAAGCACATGACAGACGGTGATAAAGAAGTAAGTAGAATGAAATAAAATAGTATAAATAGTATTGAAATTGTACTGAAAATAATTCCCCACAACCGCTGTACACTCCAGGGTCGCCTTACCGTCTCTGACTCGGCCAACTCGAGATTCCCCTCTCGAACGTGCCCATTTGTCCCTTCACGACATCAATCACCCGTAGCACACTCTCTCCAGTGTCGCTCTCTTCTTCACTTACCACCACCACCATCTCTCATCTTGTACCACCACCATCACCGCTATAATTAATAATAACACAATGCCTGTCTCCGACTACGACACTGTTGATAAGTGGATCGTCGACCGTCGCATCTTGGGCGTGAGTACCCTTTCATCAAAATTTTGGCCCCGTCACTAACAATAAACCCCTACTCTGCATTCATTGCAATCTCATCCATTTCTCATCACTTAAACATTGTAATATCCTACATCTATGGAATACTTAGTACGACCCTCTCGTACAACCCGCTCTGCTGAAGCACGAGATCCCTCTCTCTCGTTCTTCTCAAGCCACCATCGCCCGCGGTCGCTGGGAAGCCGCACAAGTCATCCAAGGCTCCGACGACCGTCTCCTAGTCATCGTCGGTCCATGCTCGATCCACAACCCCGAGAGCGCGATGGAGTATGCCAAGAAGCTCAAAAGCCGCTTGCACACTTGGGATAACCTGCTCATCATCATGCGCGCGTACTTTGAGAAACCCCGCACGACCGGTGTGCCCCCTTTGTTCTCCTCGGATCCCCGGGTTGGATGCTGATCTGATCCTCCACAGTCGGATGGAAAGGCCTCATCAACGATCCGAACATTGACGGGACCTACCAGATCAACAAAGGAATCAGAATCGCCCGTCAGCTGCTGGCCGACATCTCCGCCCTCGGCGTTCCCGTCGGCTCCGAGCTGCTCGACACCATCTCCCCACAGTACATCGGGGACTGTATTTCCTGGGGTGCGATCGGGGCGCGCACGACTGAGAGCCAGCTTCATCGGGAGCTCGCGAGCGGCGTCTCCTTCCCGATCGGGTTCAAGAACGGCACGGATGGGAGCATGACCATCGCTGTGGATGCGATGAAGAGTGCGAACCACCCGCACGCCTTTATGGGCGTCACGGAGCAGGGTCTTGCTGCCATCGTAAAGACCAAGGGGAATCAGGACGTGCATATCATCCTCCGTGGCAGCAATACGGGCCCGAATTACGAGCAAGAGTTCGTTAAGAAAGCCACCGCTTCAGTCATCAAGGCCCGCCCTGGATTCCACCCAGCGATTATGGTCGATTGTTCTCGTGAGTTGCTTTCCTTGCACCACGAGGCGTCGGAAATGAAGTGCTAACGCAAAGAACAGACGGAAACTCCTCGAAGGACTACCGCCGCCAGCCAATTGTTACCGAGAGCATCTGTGAACAACTCCGTGCCGGCGACATGAACCTCGTCGGTGCGATGATCGAGAGCAACCTGTGTGCTGGCAAGCAGGATGTACCCCCCGAAGGGCCCAAGGGGCTCAAGTACGGTGTCTCCATTACCGACGGTTGTGTCGACTGGGAGACGACGATCACCATGCTTGACAAGCTGAACGAGGTGAGCGAGACTGCATCGTATTCGATCATGCGGGTGCTCATGAGTAACCAGGCCGTCGCCACCAGGCGCAAGGTTAATGCCAGCAATAAGTAAACAACCAAAACAACTATGTAATAAGCCGGGCTAGCTGTCTAGCCCTGCCCACATGTATCACCGCCGCCATTTCACAACCCTATGGGACATCGTCGTTGTCGCTTTTGTAGATACATAGACGCGCTCTCTTGCATTATCACCGAATGAAAGTCCTGAAAGCCTATCGAGTCCACGCTTTAATGACCTCCTCCACCGCTCGCGTCGTGATCCTCTCGCTCGGAAGCTGTCTGTACCCATTCATTCGAGCGTTTCCTTTGAGTAACATCAGCGCGAGCCAGGACGGGAACTGGGATGCTGCCTCGGGGTAGGACGATTGCATGACCTGCGCCGCTGCTCTTCCACGTCCCCGAGCTTGCAGCATAACCTGCAGACTGGGAAAGTTATATACTGCGAGGAAGAAGGCAAGGTCCCGCGCCAACACGACCGGATCCATTTCGCCCTCGTCTCCATCCTCAGGTTGCATACTCACATCGGCGATTGGCTCTGGATCGTCAACGCTTGGGCCTTGTGGTGTAAGGCCCTCTCCGCGGATGTACCCTCGGAGCACTGCCCGAAACCTAGGGTCCATACTAAGGGCATCGGCCTTCTTCTCGGCTTCGTGTAACGCAGACTGGATCAAGCTGGGTCTGAGCGTGACGCAGCGGTTAACGCTCATGCCCTCGACCGTGAAGCGGGAAAACTGGGTTTCGTAAAAGGTCGCTGCTATTCTCAGACTTCTGAGCATCGTGATTGTATCCACACTGTCTCCGGGATGCTTGTATCGAGATAAGAAGACCGCTAAATATGTGTGCAACATATTGAGCTTGTCCAGTGCAAGGCACTCGACTAATGCAGCATGCGAGAAAGCAAAGAGAGAGTTTTCCCTCGGTAAGGTACCGATCTGTCGACAGAAGTATTTCGCGAATGCGACTGTGCGGAGACCATGTGCTGATGACTCGATGAAGCTGAAAAGATGCTCCGTCACTTCGGTGTCCAGAGGAAGCTCCGACGGGTAGTCCAATGGTAGAGTATCCAGATAAGCCACATTCGTGTGCAAATTGATATTCCTTGTCCCGCGTATGTCCTCCTCATACGTGAGAAAGCCAGGTTGACGTTTCACCCACATCGTTTGATCTCGTATCATGCCGGCACGATGGCGGGCATTGTGCATAATGTCGAGGTTTAGGGGAGAATATCGAGGGCTGTCAACTTCCAGTGTGATGATCTTCTCTATCTCGGGTAGAAGACTCGGGGCCATCATTCGCATGACACTATCGACATTGCCTTCTCGCTTTCGCAATCGAACGGGAAGCCCCACAATCCTTCCAGTATCCACATCTCGAGTCATCAGGCAGCGTGGCTCTGCAGCTAGAACCCACAGGTGACGCAGTATCTGTGGGTGTGCACGATTATCTGCCGCATTATTTGGGAATCGAGGATACAAAGCAGCGAGTAGACAGGCGATGGCGGCGTTGGAGTTCCCGAGGGTATAACGACCATTACCCAAGAAGAGAAGTCCCAACGATAAGTGAGTGGCAACATGGGTCCCATAACGAACGTTGTTATATTGTCCGTGTGCAATGCGAAGGCGCTGGAATATGCTTAATTCGCCCGTGCCGGCAGCAACCATAGCCATAGCAAGCTGAATGGTTCCAACGCATTCCTTGTAAGCGAATCGTTTGATACGCTGATCATATCCCGTCACGGACAACGCCATGGCTTTATTTGCGGCATCGTGGAGCATTGACAAACGGGTAAGAGCTTCGGGCTCAGCGGATCCGGCGTATCGCAAGCCGATTCCAAAACAAAGGCCCGCGATCGTATACATGTAGGCGAAACTGCTCGCATCGTCTAAATGGGCGAGGACCTGCCCGGCACTCGGACCTGATTTGAGAAGACGAGAGATGAAGTCGGGAAGGTTTGCATGAAGCCACTCCAGTTTCAGGGATATCGAATTCCACATAATCACAGACCGGGCAATGGTTCGGAACATGATGAGATATGGCGCATAGTGCGTCAGCTCCTCTCTTGTCTTTGGAGGCCGAAGCAAATCTGCAATGTCCTGCCTTTCGGTGCGCATGTACATGAGCATCAACGCGACGATGGCAGCGGGTGCAGTAACGGTGACATCGAAGTTCGGTTTCTGATATTTGAACACATCGATCGAGGGACATTCTCCATGGATCAGGTGCTGAAGTTGTTGCACCATAGCCATATCTGCTGGATTCGACTGCGCACCCTTCCCCACCATAATAAAGCCAAATGCAAATCCTGCCGATAGTGCATAAGATTCCCGATGCTCATCTGTTTGTCCTGGCTTGACCAAATCCTTCCTTGAGATCTCCCTCAATGCCACTCTCGCCATTTTCCGATTCCTAGTGCCCATGTACAAAAGACCCAAGCCCATGAGGCCTGCGGTTTGCGTAAGTACAGGGATATTTAGTTCGGCTGAATTCGGGGGCAGAAGAGCAGGCGTGTGCACGGAGATCATTTGGGTTATCGTTTCGTTGCCAGTGCCACAGTGTGCAGCTGCGAGTCCTAGCAGCACTGCCATTGTCGTGAAATTGTGCTTCGGAGCCAGGTAACCAAAGGCTTGGAAAGGAAGCATAGAGCGCAGATGCCCGGTCAAGCCTAGACCGTAGATGAATCCCGCGTGCTTTGATGATAATTCGGGTGGCTTGCTGAGGAGGATAATCCAGGAGTAGTCGACGCCTTTAGTTGCCGGCGCTATGCGCAAGGCCGCAGCCACCGCGTTGTTGAACTCCGTCCAATAGCGAACTTCGTCCGTAAGCCTGGCTCCATCCAGATTGAGCACACTTCCCTGGGGAAGTATTTTGACGGCAAACTCCAGAGGTGGTAAAGTGTAGCTATCAGCCTGTGCCGTTGGAACAGTGGCAAATGTCAATGCGGCTCTGCCAAGTGGGAGCGAGAGCGTCCGTTCAGCGATACGCATAATGAGCATCTGATGTTCATTTGCAAGATCGTGGTCGCTGGTATCAGGTCGGTCCTGTACACGAATAACGCATGTCCTTGAGGAGCGCAACATTGTTTCCACTTCACGCAAGCGATAATCTTCAGGGAAACGGATGTCGGTGAAGTGCCGCACACGGGGGTCGCCAACGCCGGTTGTCTCTTCTTTCGCACGACCTGCCAGGCTAACGTAAGCCTCCCCATACAATTTAGCAATGCTGGTCTGAGCCTCATGATCCATCTGCGTAATTAGATTAGCTCCGATAGAGAGAATGGTAGAATAACACACCTCATTGCGCTGCTTGTAGCTTTCCGTCACGTTGAGAGTTCTATCGGTACCGAAAATAGTGAGCGCTAAGTCGTCTCGTCCACACAACGAATAGAAACGGCGCGGTGCAGAGCTCGGCGGCCGGTAGCGAGTTTTGCGTAAGGCTTCCCAAAGTGGTAGGGCCATGCTGATTGGCAGTGTATTCAATTGCTCGGCTGTAAGGCCGTATACACACATAAGTTGCACGGCTTGTGAGACGTGCAACGCGCCGTCTTGAGCGCTTCGGAGTGCTGAGGAAATCTCTAATAGTATCGATGATCTCCGGCACGGGTCTGTGACACCCAAGATATTCGACACGTTCAGTCCGAAGAACTTGCCGAGATGAGGTAGGATGAAATATCGTTGCTTTGATTCTTGGGTGAAGTACGCGCCAAGATATGCCATCAAGTCCGGAGGTGGAAAATCTAACCTGACGTCCAGCGTCGCTGACTGAAGAGCTAATAGACAAAGTAAGACTAGAATGTTACCGCATGAGAAGGAGTCTTGCTTACCCTCTCCTGTGAGGCATATAGCGTCGACAGCTGACGGGCATTCTCGCAACCAATACTGCGCCCATTCCTTCTGTGCTATGCATGCAAAACGGACGACCAATGTCACAAGTCGCTTGAGCTCATCAAATTTGGTTAAATATGCCTTGTAGTCTTCGGCTAGCAGGTGCAACGCCATGAGAATGGGAGCAATGTACGGAGAAGGTGAGGGTATCGCAGTTGTTGTGGGGTATCGGATGCTTGTTGGGGCACAATGACGAAGGCTCTGAAGAGAAGGATCATGAATCATGATATCAAACGTAATAGTGTCGTTAAGTTGGTCCCACGATGACCGCTGAGGAGAACGTTCTGCTTTTTGGCAGTACGCTTCATTCCCAGGCAGGTAGGCGTCGATGAGCACATTACAGAGGCATTCAAAATCGTCGGCTCCATGTACTAGAAGACTTCTACTTTTGAGCCAATTCCGGATGAGGTGGAACGACTCCTGAGGAGGCAGAGCGAAACATACCCCTTGCAGGCAGGATTTTGCAAGTGGAGAGTTGGGCGTCAAATCCATGTCCAGTACAATCTTCTGACTGTCCTCTAGCGTGAACGTGAGGGCGCTGCCACATGGATCCTCGACTTTCAAGGCGTGGATTTCGTCCGCTTCCCACATGTTTTCGTGATCCACGAGTCTTAGCCCGTAAGATATTTGATCACCTTCCATGCTTCGGAATATCCGGAAATCCAAGAAGGCCTCGTTAGTCATCATAATTCGAACGGAGCCATCTTCGCGGACAAGAACGAGATCGGTTATGTCTTCTCTTAATGCATTCAAAGATGACATGGAGAGCGCAGACATGCTCCCCTTTCTTGTCACGCTGAGATTCTCGGCGTGTCGTTGCAGCTCGTATAACAAGACCTCGTGTGTTGGAAATCGGATTGCAAGTAGACTGTGCGTATCTCGCATATCGAATACATGGATACTGATTTGTGATAGACTAGACAGAAGCGGTCAGCACACCGGAGGAAGGTACACGGGATAGAAACTCACTCAGTGCACTGCAAGCCATCGACAGAGAGAAGGCGAGTCAGCAAACATTGCGGCTGGATCTTTTCCTGTTCTGGGATCATTGACTGAGACTGGGAAAGCGAACTCGATGAAGGCAAAGTACTGAAAGGATCTTGCTGTTGTCGAATCTGCGAATACTGGCTTCCCGGTTTTTGTCCCGCGGCAGTGGCCGCAGCAGCAGCTTGAACGGTCTTTGCGTCAACAGGTGCGGTAGAGGTGCTGAAGATGCGCATCGCATTCTTGCCCTCTGCAGCGGTCGAGGGTCGGATGGCTGAAACTCGTCGATCACGGTCGCCCGGCCCAAGCGGACCTCCCAGTCCTTTCTTCGATTTTCGACGATCTATCGTTTGTTTTGGTGGTTCTTGAGATTCAACAGGGGGGGCTTTACCACTCGACCCATCATGGCCGTTTGCGATGGAAAGGATGAGCCATATGGAGAGCTGGCCCTTCGCACGGTTGTAACTTATGGCTATTGGATCTGGAATGGTGATCCGATCTGCTACCCACAAGATGACTTCGTCCGCAGGTAGCGCAGGAGAGGTGTCGGGGATCCCTCCCATCGATGGTGGAGGGCCGGCGCTTATTCGCCACAGGTCTTCCGAGAAGAGATATCGTCCGTAAAATATATAACCTGTGACGGACGGGGCGATAGGTATTGGCCGAAGCTCGTCGAAAGGATGGGAGAGGCTGTATAGCGTAGGAAGGCGGTCCGCATCTTGTATATCGGCGATGTCGACCTCGCGTTGTACGATTAAGCCGGATGGGTAGAGAGGCGAGGCCGAATTAACCGTAAACGGGAGATTCACGGTATATTCGTCTCCGGATGCGAAGAATATTCGGCAGACGTCCCGCAAGAATATGCAGACACCCCGCTGCAGCGTGATATTTCTCCAGGCTTGTTGCCCAGCGACTGACGTAGCTCCGCTGTGCTCGCGGGGGTGGTGACCGAACATCGTTTGGTGAAAAGCGCCGAACGTCGGCCCGTTCTCCTTTTCTTTGCCCTTTAAAGATGACCCAGATACAGGCACCGCATCTTGCTCTGCACGGGCCGATGCAGGTATAGGAAACCACACCCAGCACGCGTGCCTGACAGCTCCCTCATCTCCTTCATGAGCAAAGTTCCACTGACGCAGCAGAGTAACGCCATCATAGTACAACACCGTGCGGTCGAACCATGTTAGGCTTTCATTAGATGAGAAAAAATGTGCTGACTTCGTGCTCGTAGTGTGTGGGAGAGGTGACGTCGAAGCCGAGCCGATAAGAGATCGGATCTGCTGGAGGAGGGCGGACTCGGTTGTTGAGGAAGAAGAAGCGACCGGCTGGCTACATACTCTTCTGTGGTAAGCCTGTGCAGGGGAGGATAGTGGGTCGTATTCACGCATTATGCCAGCAGTCTAGTTATGGGTGCATTGTCGTCGTTTGGGTTGAGCAGGACGGCGGGAGGACATCGCACTCCTCGACAGGGTCTACGCGTCGCGCGACTTCGACGTTGGCCAAGTTCTGCAAAACAGTTGGTATATAATGACATTGCTCGACAATACTATGCGACACGAATACAATAAGAATCTAGAATAACCCAAGCAGATCCTCCTGTGGCTTAGACGGCACCGCAGGTCCATTGGACAGTGGCGCAGCAGAAGGAACAGAGGGGAACATGGATGCAGGCGGTGACATGGGTGATGGGGCCGGTGCTTGGGTTGGAGTAGCGAGACTGCTTGAGCCAAAGAGAGATGCCAGATCATCCAACGGGTTTGCGGAGGTGAGTACTTTATGTCCAGCACTGGACTGTACGACGGCAGCGGTAGTAGCGGCGAGGCCAGTTGGCTGGTCTTCACCAGCGACCGCCTCATCGAAATCGAGAAGATTTTCGGCCTGTTGCCCAGCCACAAGCGTCTGCAATGCCTTTTCTCGGATTGCCTCGTCTTCCTGACTGTAGAAAGATGAGAGCTGCGACAGTGATGGTCATAGAGTGGACAAACCCTTCGATCTTGCGATGAACCGCGTCCGCACCCACACGTCCCCTTCCGACGAAAGTTTCCGCTGGCTTGTGGTACACGCTCGCGAGCGTGCCAATTTCACCCAATAGTTCCTCGAGTATCACAGGCGGTACTGTTGTCTGTGCCAGAGTAATCGGTGGTCGAGTTGCCAAGATGACAGCCTGACAAGGCACTTTAGCTAACAACAAACTCGCGTAGAAATAAGTGTACCTTGGCCGCGTTAGGGTCAGTGGAAAGTAAGCGCCAGTAGATATATGCACGGTCCCGAACATCCGGGCTGTCACAGTCCTTGGTAGCTGTTTCCAGTACCTTTGAGACGACACCTTGGGCGCTCTCCGGCTTCTTCATGTATAGCTTGACCACAGCAGTCAAGGTCTGTAATTGCACCTGGTATGCCTCTTCCAAGAAGCTGTCCACAAAAACGCCAAGAAGTTCGCTCGCGTTGTCAATCTTCTCCGCATACTCACCGATGATCCAGATCAGCGAGGCCTTCGCTTCCGGTTCATCCAGTTCGTCCAGGTTTGCGCATAATGTTGGGATGACTCCCTCATAGTTGTGGGGATATTTCCGGAAAATGTCCTGGATGACTTTTAGCTATCGCCTTTTCAATGACGGGCGGTCTGTTGTGCATACCTTCATGACAACCACTGCTTCCTGCACCACGTAACTGACACGCGTATTAATCAACTCGAGCAACACCTGTACGCATCGGCCAGCCGAGCTCTCAATCTTTATAGCGCATTGTCCAATCGCCTTGATAGCACGCCTCACGAAATCTACATCGACTTCCGACGCGTATTCCTTGAGTTCGCTCAGCAACGTGTCGACGTTCTTTTCTTGGGCAAGACGAATCATGATGTCTAACTTCTCGAGCTTCACATATGGCGGGTCGTTGTACTTGCAAAAAAAGACACGCATTTCGTTCTGAAGAATATCGGGTCGTTTTTGAAGGAGAAGGTTGATATTCCGGAGAGCGACCCATTGCGTTTCCGGAGCAGAAGAGACCAGAGTGACGAGCGGAGGGGCCATCTTCTTGATGATCTGCTTAACGAGATCCTCGCGAGTGAGATGCCTCATATGAACCATCATCACCTGGAATGCAACTATATTAGCGCGAAGCATCACTGTCGATTGATTGGACGGCTCACCTTAACAGCGGCTAATACCACGCTCCCATTGACATGTTGGAACTGAGGTAATACCCGTTCACAAATGTGTTCCGACTCCTTCTCGTCGACGGCCTTGTATCGAGCTAGGCAGGTGAGAAGGGCCACCCGGCCCCACTCAGAGGATTCGCCCAAAGCAATCAAGAGTTTGCCTAGGACTTGTGGGGTAATAATGAAGTTTGCCTGTAATGGCGCGGGTGAAGACTCGGTTGCGTTGAGGACGGCAGTCGCATGGATATCGGTCAATGCGGTAATGGCATTGGCAACGACCATAGGGTTGCTGTCAGAGACCATTTCCTGAAGTTGGCCAATGAAACCATTGTCGATAGCGAGTTCAGGCTTCAGATCGTACAGCTTCGCAACGCATAGACACGCCGTCTTCCGTACGTAAGGATTTTCATCTCGCAAGCACTTCTGCAGTGGGTCGCTCAAGTAATCGATGATCTTCTCTGCGCGCAACATACCCATCGTACGAATCGCGAGAGCGCGTACGAGCGGATTCGGATCGTCAGCATCCTACCCTCCACGTCAGCTGCATGATCTATGGGTTCGGAGATGGGACGCACCTTTACAAACGTGTTGACAGCGAGAATAACGAGTTCCGGTTGCGTTTTGGCGTAGTTCATCAGGTAGAGGTAGACCAGCTTCTTTTGCTCCAGATCGTCCGTCTGCATGTTCTTCAAGACGTCTGGGAAGAGCCCGCTGACGTCCTTCCCGACGGTCATGTTGGCGATGACACGCTTGATGGCATCCTTTCGTCGGTCGCGGTACTCGCTGTTTAAGTCGCTGCGAAGCTCGAAGTTTTCGCCTAAGTCGATGTCAGTCTGACTTTCACGTCTCTACAACGGGACCTCTAACCCTTCTTAGGCGCCGCTCGCGAAAGATTCATAGCCACGAAGAACACTCAGACGAGAATCGTAGCAGCCAACGGTATACAATGACAATAGTTGGGTGTGAAGCGCTTCTTTTTTGAAAAGTAACCAGAAATTATAGATGGAAATCCGTGCTGAGTTTGATGCTGAGCTCAAGCGTACATCGTGTCAGTCCAAGTCCCGCGAACAATTGCATCCGTCCCTATAAAAATAACTTGGTGCCTACAGTATCGACTTGACAGACGACCACCTTGTACGCATACATAATGGTCAACGTCACCTGTATATACGGTGAAGATAAATTCGGGCGACAGTTAGCCGTTCCTCTGGACGTGTACAATGTATATACTCTCAACCAGCTGAAGCAGAAGGCCGTGGACGAGATAGTTGAGTGGATGCTCCAGAAGTACAGCATCGTCGTCCCCCCATAGATGCGTTTGACCTCTCGTCTATCGATATCTCAGACGGTCAGTGCATACGGGGAACTATTCTGCGTGCATTGGGCTGACATCATTGTAGGAAAGAAAGATTTGAGCGGAGAGAAAGGGAGCAAGAAATTGAGGGTTCTCTGCAAAATGGACGCCAACCTCACGATGCATCTCTGGAATGGTCACAACACGTTGGGCTCGTTGGCTTCTACAGCGAAGACTTTGAGCTTCGAGGTCAAGACGTTGCCCTCCGATGTGGAGAAGGAGACGAAGCGCGCGAATGCTGCAGAGCTCGTTGAGAGTGAGCATGCAAAACCGTCTCTGCCAACTTACGGCTCCGTAGATGAGCTGGAAGGAAACCTGAAAGCTGCGACGTCATCAATTGATTCCAGCACCTTATCTCATTCTCAGCGTGCCATGGTTGACTCTGGATCCGGCGTGTCGCAGAATGTTTCCCAAGATGATGTGATGAAGACGATCAACTCGATGAGGGAAGAGCTCAGGCAAGCATTGAAGGAATTGACCGCCGGGTTGAAGGAAGTGAAGTACGAGTTAAAGCAAATGAGGGGCGAGTCGAAAGACATAAACGGTGCGGTGAAGGATGTGCAGGCCCAGGTTAAAGACTTGCAGGAAGCTGCTCTGGTAAGGCATACACGTCACTTGTTTCTTTGTTTTCCTTTTTTACGAGCAGTAATTGATCCAGAACTCAGGCTTGATGAGTCCGGTTGGGTGGAGAATATTTCGGGACTACGCTCGGAAGGACCTGCAGGTCCAGTTCCCGCCGACACTGCTAAACGATTGGGATACTTTCGTGAAGGTGTACCCCATCAATGATGTCGTCCAAGAGCTGAGGGCGAAGCAGTCAAAGTGGTCGAAAGTGTCGGCGGGTGCGCTGGGCCTTCTCTACGACAGCGCGCGATATGATCAACTCTGTTCGACTGCCTCGGTTGTTGCGAACGGCCTGGCTCATGCCATCCTCTCCATGAGTAAGGGAGCGGATCGTGATGATTGCACGGAGCTGTTTACTATTCTCTTCAACGCATCTCCCTAAGTTTCATACGCTCCTCTTGCTTATGTAGCCATAATGTACATAGTATATACGTATAATATTAGCAAAATAAACCTACTTAGTATAATACAGTCGATTCACGCGCAATAACCACGGATTCAAACAAGTGCGCTAATGATAACTTTTCTCACCTTTGGACCCTTGGTGACTTGTTCACAAAAATGCCTCGAGCGACATCCCAAAAGTTTGCACGGGTACATGAGCCCTCAGCGGCTGCCTTAAAATCAAAGGGTGAAGCAGTTGGCAATCGAAATCCTTTGTTCAATACCGAGCGGTTTGGGCAGCATATTCTCAAGAATCCCGGCGTAGCGAGAGAGTGAGTCTGGTCATCTCTCTCGACGTCCACATACCCTTACTCTTCATAAGCATTGTAGATAAGGCAAATTTAAGACCGACAGATCGAGTGCTCGAAGTTGGCCCTGGTACAGGCAACCTCACGGTTCTAATATTGGAGAAAGCGAAGCAAGTTACGGCGATCGAGATGGACCCACGTATGGCTGCCGAGTTGAGCAAACGTGTACAGGGAACGTGAGCATCATCAATCGTGACTATGCCTTTGACATTGACAAGCGTCCTAGACCAGAACAACGGAAATTAAATATCATGATAGGCGATTTCGTCAAAGCTGATCTGCCGTACTTCGACGTCTGCATCAGTAATACCCCATACCAAGTACGTAGAACAGACCTGGGATGTCGTTCGTCATTGCTCATGCAGGATCAGATATCATCTCCGATCATATTCCGTCTTCTTTCACACCGGCCCTTATTCCGTGTCGCCATCCTCATGTTCCAGCGCGAATTTGCGATGCGTCTCGTCGCACAACCTGGATCCTCCCTTTGGTCTCGCCTTTCTGCCAACGTTCAACTTTACGCTGCGGTCGATCACATCCGTAAAGTCGACAAAGCGAACTTCAGACCAGCACCGGAAGTCGACTCATCGGTGGTACGCGTTGTGCCGAAGGATCCCCCACCTCCGGTAAAATTTGAAGAGTTCGATGGGCTGACTCGAATCCTGTTCACCCGGAGAAACAAGACGGTACACGCGAATTTTCAAGCAAAGGGTGTGTATAAGATGCTGGAACAGAACTGGAAGACATGGTGTGCCGAAACGGGGCAGATGGTGGAGGACGGGGTGGACTTCAAGCAAAGGGTAGACTCGCTACTGGAAGAGACGGGATATGCGGAAAATCGGGCGGCGAAGATGACAGTAGATGACTTGTTGAAGTGCGTCCCCTCCGTTTTCCATTGCTGCTACCAGATTCTAACTATCAGTCAGGCTGCTTTCGGCATTCCACGACATTGGGGTTCACTTTGCATGAGCATCGACTCTGATTGATATCCGTCATACTCTGTACTTTGACCATGTACTGCGCAATCGTGTACCACCAGTCACACGTCTATCCTCCTACATCCGCATAATGTTCTCAGGTTATTCATTTTTTGCCAGTGGTGTCCTCTAATTGAATCCACTTCTTCGGAATACCCCGTTCCATCAGCAAGTCGCTGACGATCTTCAGCTGATTCCCTTGTACAAGAACTTCCGAGCCGGCGTTCTTCCCCGGCAGGGGCGTTACTGTTGCTCTTTAAGTGTGAGGGAATCATCGCTGAACACGGACGAACCTGAGGTGGCAGAGGCACACGCCTTGCGCAATGCTTCAGCAAGCTCGTCCGCTTCAATGCCGTACAACTCGAAACGCGTAACCAGGCTGATAACACGTCTACCCTGCCGTGTCTTTGCAACAACCGATATCGGTGCCAGCTGTCCTTTCTTGACCACAGGTGCTTCGTCTTCCTTTAGTGCAATCGAATGCCATGCTTGCATCTTTGAGCGGAGCCTCTCGAGAGCATCTTCCCGTCGCATGAACTCGATCTCTTCTCCTTTGTTCAGGAGGACCTCTTGGAGTAATTTATCAAGAACAACAAAGCCCTGTTCTCGCGGGTGTACCAAAGAATGTTCCTTCACGTACTCCAACAGAACTGTGCGGACTTCCACTCCATTGTAGAGATCATCCGTGCTATCATATGTGAGCAATATATATCCGGCGAAAAAGACCGCATACTTCTTGCTCATCACGTCGAAGAATGCTACAGACGGCCCGTGTGGTTTGTACAGCTCCGTAATAGCAATCCCGTCTTTCTTTGACCTTGCTGCTTGTCTCTTTTCTTGCTCCTTCTTACTTGCATCCTTCTTCTCGGCATCGGCAATAGTCTTGTAGCCTGTGTGTTGGAGGACATCTGGACAGGTCGCATTCACCGAGGTCAGCCATGTCTCCCCCTTTACATCCTTCGTTTTGATCAGACCATCCTTTTCAGCGGTCTTCAGAAACTTGGTGAGCTTCTTGTACGATGAGTGCTTGATATCTGCATCGGCAGGCGTATCGGAAGGTCGAGACGGTAGTATGTAGGCGGAATACAAGTTGGTCCCCATTATCGGGAATGACGAAGCTGGCAATTTAGACAAACTTGTCGCAATAGCATGCACCAATGCTGTCCGAAGTATTGTGTCTACCTCTGCAAAACCATGAGCTTCTAAACTCTCCATTGAATCTGAACTAACCCGCTGGCGTAGTCATTTCGTTGTTTGAACCGAATGTGACACTTTCTTCTGGGCTGGTCTCAACACTTTCCGTCGGAACTCTCTCATCTAGCGCGTCCTTCGTTTCGTCCTCCGTTGATAACGCTGCGAGCTTAGAGGTAGTTTCATCCAGATCTTCAGATGGTTCTGGGTACGGCAATGCAGCTGGTGGTCCACTCTTGCTGCCCATCTCCCACAGATAATCTTCATAGATATGAAGAATCAGAGCGGCCTTTCCCTTCATCCCTTTCCCTAGAGACGAAGGAGGTACTGCCATTGTCCCAATGGCCAAGGAAACATTTGATCCAATGATCGATATGGCTACAAGATCGCCCTTGGAAACACCAGGTAGCTGCTCCGCCGTTTCCAAGACCCCGGGTATCATAAGATCAGCACCATCAGACAGCTTTTCCACCACAAACGCGGGCGTATGCAGTATAGACACGAGTTTCGGACGCTTCCACAGAGTATAAACTGTGGTAACATTTGAACGCTCAGAGCCTAGTTGGAATCATCAAAGCTGACCTGTCGGGACCAGTGTCGTCGATTGCTTGCCGACTGTAAACCAGAGCGGCTCTCCATCCGGAGATTGGTATATGGTCTATAACAAAGTAAGATCTGCGGGAACTAAAGTATGACATAGCATACCCCAGGTTCCCCACCTGACGATTTGAACTTTCTGGCTTGTAATCCGTCAGGTACGAGCAGATCACATTCTTCAGGGGCAAGTTTGAAGGCAGTAGCAACGTCACCCTGGCCACGGCACATACACTGAGCTTAACAAGTCGGAAATAGAGCAGTAACACGTACAGCAAGTTTTCGCCTGTCTGAGTTGCGAAGCGCTGATGATGTTTTGAGTTCCGATGGTGATTTCTTGAACATGAGAGATGGTGTCAAAGTGTCGAGGTGATTTGCTGCCGTTCTCAAGCTCTGGTCAGCGATTTTTGCGTAACACACATGTGCAAAGGTTTGGACTATTTTCTTACAAGTCAAGTCATACAAAAGTAGCTAAGGTATAAGACTCGCACAATGGGACAGTACCGGGAATAGTGCAGAAATATTAAACGAACAAATCAGTCCGATGACGTCATAAAGCCTATTACTGACAAGGGGTCAGTCAGGGTTACGGCCAGTCTCTTTTTGTTCCACATACCATCATCTAGCACAACAGAGCTTTTATTCGCTACTCCATCATCCTCGATACCTGCACATCGCTGATCAGTATTGAATACCAGCGACCTCTATAGTATACCTTTCAGCAGTGCCATGTGATCCAACTTGGGGTACAACCGCTTTTGTACGGTTTGCAGACCAGCACCCATCAGGAGTTCCTCCAGCATATCACTCTGGGAGGACCGAACGACCATATCTTGGGCTCTGCATAGGATCAGCGGCAATCCCTTCTCAGCGGCACTAACATACCCATGGAGGACAAGCAGCTTCGATGGGAGATACTGGACATTAAGAATCGATCTTGCTGCAAATAGAAGATGGGCTGGTGAGTGGAAGAGGCAAGATCGGCCCAGGATCTGACGCATCGGGGACAGATAGCTGACTCCTTGCGTCGCCTCCCATTCAAGATGCTTCTGAGTGTCACTAATCGGTGCGATCCTGTGCATCATGGTTAATCAGTGCCACTTGTGGTAACAACATCTGGCTCACAGTATCAAGCCTTTGATGGTGACGCTGCTGACATCCGGTGCATATATCCTTGCTTCCATGAGCCCATTAGGCAGCACCACTTCATGATGATGTGCTGCGAGACCATCATCATGATCCTGTGAGGTTTGATAATCCGGATTGTGCAGTTGATAGTCGTTACGCGACCGTACGGCCGCCATCTGGACGGACAGCAGCAGGGCCAGGTAGGCACCAAACCTGATAAATATGTAAGACCGCTGAGGACCGATCCAAAAGGAGCATACCCATGTCCCATCACATAGATTTCGTCCGCATCACCATGTATCTCGCTTTCTCATATTGAGGGAAAGATACCAAACATATTAAGAAACGCACGCGGCATGAGTGTTAGTCCATGCAAGGACCAACTTCAGATTACGAATAATAACTTCCATATCCTCTTTTTTTGTCGGGTCGACTTCAGGCATGATGACCGCTTGTGAGGGGTAAGAAAATGCGTGGATATAACAAGTAACGCGTACTGCATCCGATCCTTTGTAATTTGCAAGCAATCGGAGCCATCATCCACCTGTTCCTAGCTGAGACACGTCGAGGTTTCGCAACAAGCGTAACTCACTTCCGACATACGATCGGTCCATAATTCCCATCATGAATGAAAACGACGATCGGACAGCTCTTCTCTTTGTCAGATGCGGTGGGGGTTGCAAGGTATATGTCGACGGGAACGTTCGAGATGTGCCTACTATAGCGGATTGTCAACCCCAACTCTAGGTAACGAAGTCACACCGACCGTTCTCGCATGCCCGATCGGAGATCGAACACATCCCAGATGACCAATTTCAAAGCATACAGCATAGTAGGAACAAAATCAACAGCTTGTAGAAGCCATCTGAGCGCATACAGCCCAGACTTGAGCCGTTCTCGGAACTGCGTGAGCGGCGGCGGCCGGCTGTACGTTGCCAGTGATAGTCGACGGGCTAATGCGTCTGCAGCCAGGAGGGGTACTGGAAGTTACGCATCAGACGAGATGTGCTTGTTGTGCATGCGCTTCATACCGATTAGAGAGACGCTCAGGGGGATCGTTATTGGAAAACAAAGGATGAACACTGTAAGGTCGTGTTAAAGGCATTGTCCTATGACATCAGATACCACTAACAGAACAGGTAAAGCAAGCGCCATCTTTGAACTCTTGGGCCTGCCATGAAGTGGATGGATCGTACAAATCGTTGACGTACAGAGTCAAACATGAGAAGAACATACAAGTCGAAAATAGGAGGTTATATCAAATCACCAAAATTAGACTTCCCGACGCATCTTGTTCGCGCGACGCGTGCTGCATGTTCACAACACCTCAACCGGAAATACTGTGCATCGAGTCATTTCATCTTGACTATTTATATAGAAAACGAGTCCTTCTCCAGTCTACGTGACTATAGTAGCATTTCATCCTTCTAATGGGCCGACTTGAATCGGCGTGTCCTGTATTACAAACCTAAAAAGTCCTACCGCAGTGAGGAAAAACACGAAAATCTTCGTCATCGTATTCGTCGTCTCTCCAAACCAGTCACCTATCCCCCGCATCCCAGCAGCAGTGAACATGTATCTGCTGATACAGACCACCATCGTTGTCATCAGATTGACGGGTAGGATGAGAAATGGGGTTTCGGTTAGCTGGCTCTGTCTCCATGCGGTGCTTGGTAGGAAACTGCCCCAGGCGGATGGTTGGGCTGTTTCTGGAGATCCGGCGGAATCGCTCGTTGATGGGTTGTAGGTTCTTCCGCGATAGCGTCTCGTTGACACTGTTCGACAGGCGTAGGACAGTCTTCTGGCTCAAGGTACGCTCCTAGTTCATCCACTGTTTTTCTATGAGCGACGAGAGAGCGGATGATAATCACAATTGAACCTACTTGTTATATCTTCGTCCGTGTCTTCAGCTGGCGTATCATCGACATATCTCTGGCTCTTTTCTCTTGGAGAGCGAGCCTGAACAAAACAGCGCTCCTGGGGAATACGAATTCGTTGAGGCCAAGAAACAGGTCAAGAGTGTGCCGTACATGGTTTGCCAAACAGGGTTCACAGCGTGTTCCCCTACTCCGGCGTATGCACTTGATCTTCCTGCGAATGATGTGCTCAGCGTGTCCTCTGTTTGATATTGTAGAACACCCACAATCTTTTGCAACTCAGGCAGGCAGAAGCTCTGGGTTTGAATGAAGACCCTGGTGACTCCCAGGTGGGAGTGGACCACGACCATCCTGAAGGGCCGCTGGCATCGGACACATCGATGTCGGAATAGTCTCCTCCCGCTATTAAGACAGATTCAGGGGAAGAAGATGCGTGCTGTGGGATTCTTGCAACCCGATGAAAAGACGCTTGGGTACGCTGGGAAGCTGGTTCAGGGGCAGGTGCTCCAATGCGGTTCAAATCGTCTCGGCCACAGTTAGGACAGTCTTCCTGCTCAGTTGAGAGATCCCCTTGTTCTTTCCTACCGTTCTCGTTAGTATGACTATCTCAAACTTTGAATGAAGACGCTCACAGCCTGTTGCATCGATGGCAGGCTAAGGGCGCGGACTGAAAGCGCCTTCGAAGTCCATCCCGATACTGCTGCATTTCCTGAAGAATCTGCACTTCCTCTGCCGAAAGGACGGTTATGGCCACCGTGTTGACAGGAAAAGGTTCCATAAGCGTTTGTTATCCAGGAGGGCGCCGGTGCGTAAGAGCTGTCTGGGATGAACGAGCTGGACGGCATTATATCGCTACATCTGCCTAGCTTGTTCAAGACGGTGTCCGCAGTGGGAAACGCCAGAATTACTGGCCACGCGCAAACCCGGCGTTCTAGCCTCTGGCGCCAGCACAACTCGACAACATGTAGACCCTTGTGAACTAATCGGAGACAAACGGAGGCAAACCTGGTGTCCGATGCTGCCGTTAATGACGTGACCCTTTCACGTCCCATCGACCACCACACTGCTGATACTGCTGATGACGACGATGACCTCACTCTTCCGTACTCCCCTCGTTGCCACCTTGCGTGTTGCTTCACACTCTCGCCCACTCCTCACTCCTCAATTTCGCACTTTCCTATCCTCATCCCGTCCACTCCTTCGTCCAACAGTCAAAGCCTCCAAGCCATTGATCGCCTCACTCACTGCAAGGCGGTTCGCATCAAACTACGGCAGCTCTACCGTCACACCACTCCAGCCAATCTCCTGGACGCGCATAGGCAGCACCGTCCTATTAGTCGCAGGCGGTATCATCGCAACCAACTTCCTTCTGAATCGCCACACCCGTGGGGCATACAGCGAGGCCGAACGGAGTTTTCTCAACCATACCTTCTGGTATGTCGGCGGTGGGCTCACTCTCACCGCCGGTCTGGCACGATACCTCCATTCCACCGGCTTCTCCCTCCGTCTAATGGCCGCAAACCCCTGGCTCGTGCTCGGTCTTGGCCTCGTCGGTAGCATCGGGACCATGATGGGCACTCTCTGGACAAGCCCGGATAACACCCTCCTCAAGCATACCTTCTTTACCGCCTTCCAGGCATGTCAGGCCGCCACTCTCAGCCCCATCTTCTTCCTCTTCCCCCCGGCGATCATCGCCCGTGCCGCGCTCTACACCGTCGGCATGGTCGCTGCACTCGCTTACATTGGCGGAACGGCGAAGAACGACCAGTACCTGTATATGGGCGGCCCGCTCCTCGCTGGGCTGGTCATTGTTGCTCTCTCTAGCTTGGCCCCTATGGTTCTTCCAGCTACGGCCATGCGCACGCTCGCTCTGACAGAGGCAGTCTCTCTCTACGGTGGTCTTGCTGTCTTTGGTGGATTTGTTCTCTTTGAGTAAGCTTCTTCCTTATCGAGCGAGATGGTGCTTATCCGTTACTCTAGTACTCAGAAGATCCTCGCCCATGCTCGGCTTGCCGAGGCAGGCCGCATCAAGCGTGATCCCATCGCCGAGTCCATCTCGCTCGAGCTCGACTTTATCAACATCTTCATCCGTATGCTCCAGATCCTCGGCATGCAGCAAAGGAAGAAATAACCTAGTCAGTGTTGGGGCACCTCCTCGTCGAGGACCGTGTTTCTTATATGATGTATCCAAGAGTAATCAATTCCCCATGTTGAATGCCACAAACATTTAATTGCTGTTGGATATGAAACAAGCTTGCCTATAGTGGTACATGATGCACAGTGTGGTATTAATCAAGAAAGACGAGCCCAAAAATCGAAGCAGAGGGTGTGAAATGTTGTTTCATGCGAGTGTACTGTCTTCTCACAGTAGTGGTGGGAGCGCCACTGTGGCAGAGATGAGCATGCTAGTTTTCGCTGGCCGAAATCCGAATTGTTTACGGTAAACCTCCAGCAGGCGAGGCGTAGGCAGGCTTAAGAGGAAAGGAAAGTGTACGAACTGGCAGTGACGGTGCTTTCGCTTGCCGGTTGATCCAGTCGCGCCCGTTGGCGCAGGAACCCTTTGGCAGCTTCATACATGCTCTTATCAACAAAGTGTTCCGGCGCGCGGCGTTTTTCCATGAGCTGTCACGAGATGAGCAATCGGAAGTAAGGGAAAGTAAGGGAAAGAGGAGAACTGACGGTGCGGGACATGAGCGACTGCTTCACGAACCACTGGTGAAAGTTCTGGGTCGTTACTGCGTCCTCGGGCAGCGTGGGCGGCACACGCTCTTGGAACTTTGTGACCTGGTCGACGATCTTGCCGAAGATCCCAAATTTGCCCCAGTGGACCAGTTTCGGCTGATCCGGATGCCATTCCAGATTCCGATCGCTTCTGGCAAGTGTCGACGTGTGAATCTCGAAGCACGGTATGGCGAAGAATGCGGTATGCAACAGGGTCCGGTGATATATGAGGTGATTGCGATCAGTGCTGAAGAGCAGATCATGATAGTGGAACATGTTCCAGATTTGCTGATTGTTGAGATAGGAGTGTAGGATATCGGGAGCATTTGGTAGGGCATCTTTGATGCCCACATGAACAGCTCGCAAACTGTTGAAGTTGTTCAGCTTTCGCAGCTCGTGCCCAACCAGGCAGAACTTGGAAATGAGAGATGATCTTGCTGTTTGACCCTCCCGGGCGAGGATCAGAGATGCGACCCAAGTCTGCACCCTCATGAAATGCACAGCCATGCAATCAATCGGATCAGGATAGGACCTTTCCTTGGCCGGTGTCCAGAGATGGCGGGCCCACTCTCGAGGCTGTGTGAACGAGTTGAGTCCAGTTCGATTGCCCCGTCCATGAATTGCTCACCTCAATATCCAGGAACAGGGGAAGCTCAAGCCTTGTTAGCTCCCTGGCAATCTGAGCGGGCGTCAATCGCTCAACGTTACCAGCCATCTTGGACAGGTCCTTTAAAAGCTGCCTGTCGTCTGAGATCTGTCGACGCTCGAAAGCACCAGGTGTCATGCTCGGCTTCTTCCTTACGGCGACTCGTGATCGACCTGTAGAGAGGGAGGACAGATCGGAGCTGTAAGATGGGGAGAGCACATAGTTGCTTCCACGCGGTGTGCTCGTGGGAGTAAGCTTCCGCTGGCTGTTGGTTCGGGGTATAAGCCGATCATTCTCTTCCACAGAATCCTCGTCAGAGTCGACCTCCCAAGCCCGATCTGGATCATCCGAACGATTAATCTTGTTGATCAGGAGCTTGAGCTGGGTCGCATGGAACAAGGTATTGTCTTCTTCAGCAATAACCTTGTGCGTAGCTCGGAGTGCTCGATAGGGGACATCTTGCGAAAAGTCTTGGGGGAAGTTCGTCACCCAGTCGAGAATCAGATGTGCGAGCCTGATGACTGTTAGCGTGACTCCCACATTGCCTCCGGCTAGACACACCTCAGCTTTCCCCAAAGATACATGTTCTCGTTGATCTTCTGATCATTCAGCGAGTCCCAGTACTTTTGCCACTCTCGAAGGACAAAGCGGGCAGTGGTGAATTTGCGGTATGTCAAGAAGAAGTGATACAGGAATGTCAAGTCTAATCAGGTCAATCAGTGCTCCGTAGTTTCACGCCGGTGAAAAGAGGCACACCAGAGTCAGAGATGGCCATGAAGAACACCCTCTCGCAAAGCGCCTCCAGTGTGGAGTACATATAGGTCGGCGGCCTAAAACACTGACATCAGCATCAAGCCACGAGCGTTGCGTCAGAGCGTACAACTTGGAAACGCCCTCGGCGTCAGCCCCTTCCTCCCTCTTCTCATCCTGCAACTGCTGTTCCCTTTCCTCCGCAGCCTGCACCTCCTTATCCAAATCCAAAAGGTTGTTCGTCGACAAGCTCGCGATATAGCTTGACCTCAGCTGCGGTGCATACGTCGTCACCGACTGGGATCTTGGTCTCTGTTTCACAGGCGCCGGCTCGGGGTGGATCGTCACTGTCGTGTCCTCCTCTTCAGGTACCGAGACCACAGGAGTAAGAGGGACAGGCAACGTGGTAGGTGTAGGCGTACCCATGCGGTCGATCTGCTGTGCGTTGCTCTGCACCGCGAGCATGGCGGGTGCAGGCTTAGCAGGGCTGGGAGGACGGCTCGGGAGCGTCATTATTATAGGAGTGACAGGCGTGGTCAATACAGGCGTCATGACCTGGGCACGGCCATCTACACAAGAACATATCAGCAAGTGAAGGTGGATGAAACGCGAGGGGTCAGGCTTCCGGCAACGCGTGATGGTTGTCAGGCGCAGATGCAGGCACCTTTTGGGAAGGATATAATGGGTATGAAGTGGGGCGATGCGTGCCCTGTTGGGTATATAGCAGGAGACTGACGCCCATAGGAATAGGAAGGCCTTGACCTCCGAGGCGCCGATAAGGCGGATCCCTATCGATCCGCCGGGCATGTGGTGAACAAAAGCGCGTTTGGCAGGGGAATGCTTCCCTCGAAGACACAGCCTGATGACGATGGAACTGTGCGAATGAGAAGCACGGCAACGCCAGAAGCAGGCGGATGACCAAGGCCAGAAGCACAAGCAAGAAGCAGGGAACAGAAGCAACCAAAAGCGAAAGCAACCAAAAAAGCCAACACTCACGAATCTCCCCACCAGTAACGACCTTACACATATACCTAAAACAATGTTTAGGTGCAATCCGATTCTTGTGCGCCGTATCGCTGCTCGACGGTACCAGGCCGACGTCCCGAGTCCGCGTGCGCTGGTCGAGCGTTGTAGTCGGTAGCGCTTGGGGCAGATCCGTTTTCGTCGCGACGACTATGCAGGGGAGGTTGAGATCTCTTATCAGGTCTGTTGTGCATCAGCATCAGCACGATTCCTTTCTCCCTTCTTGCGCTGAGAGAATAGGAAGATGGCACTCACCAACAGCAGAAGACACCCACGCCGTCCTCCTGCCGGTCGCATCAAACAACACGAACGCCCCGTCAACATACGGCATCCAGCCTGGCCAATCACGCTCGTCCCCCTCCCAATCTATGAGCGTGGAATCGATCTCCAGTATCCGGTAGTGCATCTCCGGGGCTGGGCCAGGGTCAGGGGCGGACATGCGGATTCTGGAGGTGCGATATTGGTCTACGCGGGTGTGAGCTCTCCTACAGCAGGAACAAGAGCAAGGACAAGGGAAGACGACTCACACAAAAGTTTCCCATCCCGATCCTCGACCTCCCCTACTCTCCTAACTCCCGGCCAACCCTCCATGCCCCCCAGGACGAACGTCGTCTTCCCGCTCCCCTCCGGTCCGAAAACGGCGATGTGAAACGGGTGATCTGGCGTGCCGGAATTAGGCGAGGGCGGCAGGGGGAAAGGGGAAGGGAGGAGCTTGGAGAGCGAGGACGGCGTCGGGGTGTCCCTTCCCGAGAGCTGGAGGGGAGTTAACATGTGCTAAGATGGGAAGGCAGCAGCAGGACACGTACAGTCTTGGAATTACTCCTCGCTCTCCCTTCTTCTACGGGTGAGATGCCCACTTCCCTTCCCAAGCCCAAGCTCGGCCTGCGACGCAAGCTCAAACTCTCCCTCCCCATTATAGACGTATCCACCCGCGGTGCGCTCATCTTCCGCCGAACGGTTACAGGGTCGCCTTCAAGCGCATGCGGGAAATGGGGGAGCGAGGGCGAGGTGCGTACGGGCTTCGGGCTGGGGGGGCCTGTCCACCCTCCCCCTCCCTGGGGAGGAGGGGTAGTGTTACTAGGGTTTGAAGATGAGTACGCGTGCGTGTTCATCCCCATGAAGGACATGAGTTTCCCCCTCCCGCGTCGGTCGAGCGCCTTCTGCCGTTCGCGTTCCGACGGTGTGGAAGTATCCATCGCCAGAGGGGGAATGAGGCTGTCGTACCCTTCCTCGACCGTCAGCGCGCGTTCTCGCTTCCCCTCCCCTGCGCTGTCGCCCCTCCACCCGCCGGTAGAGGAATACCGCCGCATACTGCTTACGCTCTGCAGCGTCCCGCTCGCGCGGCTGTTCGGCCTGCTGAGAGAAGAGGAATAGGCGTGGGAGTGGACGTCCGACAGCCCGGAGGCGGCGGAATCGGTGCTCGTGCGTTCTTGGTGTGCTTCGAGGAGCGCTGGGAAACGGCTTTCGGCACCTGCGGTAGCGGGGAGAGAACGACTCTGAGATAAGGGTGGGATGCCTGGGCCTAGAAGTTGCGGTCCACTGCGTGGGGAAAGGGGAGGGCGAGGTGCCCAGTCTTCTACTATCGGAGAAGGGACTTCTGGCAATGGGATACTTGGAGGCGCTGATGGCGGACCGAGGTGGGAGTGGTGTGGGAGAGAAGTGCTCCTCCTGCGGGCATCGGAGGGTTGAGGAGGAGGTTGGAGGGCACGGGAGGCGGTGGCGTATGGATGTTGGTGGGAGTGTGGACGGTGAGCGTAAGGATGGCCTGACATCTTTTGCTACTCCTGTTATTGTCTTCTTTTGCTGTCGTTGTAGTTCTTGATGGATAAACTGATGAGAAACGTTGGATAAGATTATTGGCCGCAAATGTTGAAAGTGCTGTCAGATAAACAGTTGATCAACTGTCAGCGTCTAGTCCAAAATCATCCAGCAGAGAGCAGTGTATAACAGGGTAGAGCAGATCGTCGACCAGAGAAGAGCAGAGTGAGCGTCGTCGTCGTCGGTGTCGAAAGAGTGAACGAGAGGCGACGCTGAGGTTGCTGATGCCTGATCAGCAGCCAATCTCTCTTCTTTCCCTTTTCCCCCTTCTGTCTATCTCCTACTAGCGTATGCCGTACTGTGATTACACCTGGTGGAAATGAGTAGAGGTGGAAAGGATACCCAGTCTGATACTTTTTTCTGTAACACTTACCCCCTTTTGTGGAATGGACAGTGCCCGTGCTCGCTGTTGCACGAGGCGCCTGACAGGGAGGTCGAGGAGGAACACAGTGACAGCAGTCAAAATAACACTTGGTCCCGTACACGTTCCGCACAGTCCTCTCTTCTCCTCTTCTTTTCTTCTCCCTTCCCTTTCTTAGAAATTGCGGTAACCCTAAATTATATATGTGGAGTGATTCTGCGCAAAATATTAAATTTACATTCAAATTCCTTTGGGCGGGTTTGGAATCTCTTTTATATTGCGCAACGAAATCTTGGAGAAATCGGCTCTTTGCTAGGCCGACCCCCGACTACCATATAACACTCAATAACAACTTAGCACCAAGCATTGCATCATTGGATCGTATACATAACAACAGACAACAAGTTACGTGAGGGAGACTACAACAGCACTGTATCATCAGATATTGGTTATACATCCATCTCGTAAGTATCGCCGGCCTCCCCGTGCCGCCGGTGGTCTCTTCGTCATCGCTTCTCCGACAGCTTCGGCTCGTATGTTTCGTACATTCGTACATCATCTCGTTCGTCGGTCGCGAGTCGCGCGCGTGAAGGTGGTGGAATCGTAGAAAATAGAGAAGGGGAGAACAGGTGAGTTGGAAGGTAGAAAGGAGTAGGAAGGTGGGAAGGGGATGGGTAGAACAGCGTATAAGAATGGTGTCAGAGATTCGAAAAGAATTGACAGATGAAAAGACGTTAAAGTCACAGGATTCGTACATACATACCACAGACACCACGTCATCACCTTCTTCTGCTTCTTCTGCTTCTTCTCCGAGTTTTAGGTCGGCGTGGTTCTCTCTTCTGCCCTTCCGGTACCGCGCCGGCTTTGGTCCCCCCATCCCCGGCCAGTCCGCTACGAATGGAACTTGGGCGTACCAGTGCTGGCGACCGAATACCCAGCATGCATGACTCCATTCGCAGCCTTCTCCGCGTTCTCTTCGATGATCTCATACTTGAACCTCAACTCCCCGATCTTAGCGTCATACTCCGGCCCCGCCTTGTCTCCGTAATCGTCGATGAACGCCTCGCATTCCGCGAGAAAGGCCCGCATGGCCGTCGCGTGCGCTCCCGCACGCTCGGGCTGGTTCGTGCCTCTATAACGCGCAAGGAGGCCAGCGAGGAGCGTGGTGAGGGCACCGAGGACGGCGGTAGCGATGCTGTGGTTCCCGGGGACGGCAGAGAGGACTGTGATGGCTGCTGCGACTACAGTGGGGTTAGCTTCGCCCAGAGAACAAGGAGGGCTCACATAGCAGTTGGAGAAGGATAGTCAAGTTGATCCCAAAGGAATAGAACCTCTCTATAACACAATCAGCATCCTGCTCCAACCAACCGGCCAGGACCACTCACCCAACCAAACCTGCATATTATCTGTCCATACCCTTGCTTAGCGTACACCTCATACCAGAAGCGGGGGACTCACAACTATGTTCAGCCAAATCGACCGTATGCTCCATCCTCTCCTCCACCGTCTTGCTGCTATCTGTCGGCGGCAGCTTCGGGTCTGCCGGTACGCCCCTCAGCAGGCTTAAGATGCCGCCTGAGGAACGCTTGCCCGGGCTCTGAGCAGACTTCACACTAGCGTCTTTCTCCGATACAGAGTTGCGCGCTGTGCCCCGGCGAGGAGGCGTACGCGGCCGAGCCCGGGGAGTGGGTCCACCAGCGCTGCCGTTCGTTCCTGCATATGGGTTCTCCCCCGCCCCAGTCCCAGCACCGGCCCAAGCAGCCTCAGCTTCCTTCCCCTGCTCGGGGGAGCCAGGCCCACTCCCGGCCCCGGCAGTCTGGACCTGCTGTAAAGGACTAGGTTGGGAAGGCTTATTCGCCGCAGACCGGAATGTCTTGCGCGCGTCGGAGAAGAGCTTGCGTGTACGCGAGGGCTCGGGGGATGGGGAGGGCTGGGACCATTGCCCTTGTGCGGACGCGGACTGGGAAGGAGTGGGTTGAGGCTGGCTCGTAGGGGCGTCGGTGTACGGCGTGTAAGCCTGGTAAGCCTGATAGGGGTAGTCATGTGCTGGGTACTGGGCATACTGTGCGTACTGGCTCTCCCCTTGCGGGCTCTGTTGTCCCATCCCCGGGCTCATCCCCTGCGACTGCCCCGGTTTTCCCGAACCGACAGCACCAACACCGGGCAACGTCTGGAAGTACCCATCCGGAACGCGTTCCATAGCCGGCAGCGGCTGGGGGGAAGTGGGCCAGTTCGCATTCACGGATTCCCGCAGGCTCGTTGGTGCGGCTCCACTGGTGTGGGCGCTGCTGGTGCTGACTAGTCGCACTCCTTGACTGGCGCCTGAGTTGATATTTGGATTAGAGTTCCCGCTGGGTGCGTTGGGGTTGGGTTTGGATGCGTGCTGCGCCGGCCCGGTAGGCGAGATCGGAGGGGACATAGCGCGCAAAGAGTTCGTACTTGGCAAGGAAGGGAGAGGCGGAGAGGGCGCCGGGCGGCGGGAGGAGTGCTTTCGCCCCGGGGGGTCACGGCGGGTAGTGGGTATCGGACCTCCGGCTTGCGTGGCTGTGGCGCCGGCTGGAGCAGGCGCGGTGGAAGGGCTGACGGGGTTGAGCGGGGAAGGAGGAGAGATGCGGACTCCTCCAGACTGTGCTCCCCCTGCGCTTGGCGCCGCGTTCACAGCACCGGAAGGGCGCTGGACGCTCCTGGCAACTCTTTCCCTGGGTGGGCTCTGGGCCGGCGGGGGCACAACCACCGCGGCTGCCGATGCGGCCGGAACGGTTGAGCGACTCGGGCGTGTCGGGCTGAGAGGCGTCCCTCCAGCTGATGCACCATTGCCATTTCCGTTTCCATTTCCATTTCCATTCCCGTTCCCGTTCCCATTCCCACTCCCATTTCCGTTACCACCAGTGAAGGCGCCGCTCGATGGATCTGCATCACCTCCTTGGGAGGTCCGCTGCCGATCCCTCCCCCTGCGAAAAGCAGACTTCGGCGGTGGGTCAACAGGTACGATTGGTCCTTGGCGTCTGCCGTTGCCGGATACTGCTGGGGGAGAGGTGGGAGAGGTGGGGGAGACAGTGCTCTGGGCGAGGTTAGCTGCCGCTTGGATGGAGGGTGCAGGATTGGAGGGATTGGATGAGACGGCTGCCATTGTTTGCCTTAGCCTGTCCGCCGCAAGCTGTACGTCTCTCGAAGGATTGCTGCTCATCGTCAGATCAGGTACGAGTGCGAGCGCAAAAGAGTGGATGAAGGAGAGAAGACGGTGGCAGATGCCAAGAGAAAGAAGAGAGAACGTACTTGGACATGTTCTGTCTTGTTGAACAAGGCACGTGCGACCGTTGACGATTAGCAAGTTGTGACTAACCGCCGGCACAGCCTGAACAGAATTACACCGCTTTATCCACTTGATTATCAGCTTTCCAGATCAAGTAGATAATAAAGCAGCAGTAAAAGCAGAAGAAAAGCAGGACAGTCCACAGATAGGATGGCCGTGGATGAACAGCGCCCTCTCCTCGGGGAGATGTTGAGAAAAGAACCCTGACCAACATTCCTCACATGATCGCCGATACATTCCGCAATAGGGAAAACACGTGAGCACAGCCACTGTTTGGAGAAAGTCACGTGGGTAATGAAGCATTTCTATACCGGAAAAGGGTCTATCCGCCACATAACCGGTTTGAACTGTGGGGAAATGTCTCTTGCGACCAGCTTACAAGGCGTTACACGGAGAGTATTCCCCTCCTCCTCTTCCTTTCTTACCACCACCATCCTTAATACAACATGGACCGCCTCAAGCAACTCACTTCTCATTTCACTCGGTCGCCCAAGCCTTGGGAGACCAAGTCGCCTGACGATGTGGTCATCACACTCGCCATCCGCTCTCCGTTGTGTAAGTCCTGGAAAGGAGCTCTCAAGGATACACGGTACGCCCCTTTCCTATTCGATTTCACTTTCTTATGCTGACCACACGTTTGACGTGCTCCAGCTCCGACGAACTCCTAACAAGCATGCTCAAAGCCACCATTTCCCGCATGCAGATCCCGCCCGGGATGGTTCAAGACATCTGCGTCGGCACCGTGCTCCCCAAATCTCCGGGATACGAAGCGCGCGCCTCTGCTCTGGCAGCAGGATTTCCGGAGACGACACCTACACAAGTGATCAACAGGTTCTGTTCCAGCGGGTGCGTGACTCTACTTGGCAAGGAAGGAGTAGCGCTGATATCTGTTTGGATGTGCAGGCTCATGGCCGTCACTACCGTAGCGAACCAGATCCGCGCAGCACAGATCGAAATTGGCCTCGCAGTAGGAGTGGAAAGCATGTCTTTCAAGTACGCCCCCTCCCTATTTCTTTACCTCTTACTGACCCGGCCATGACAGCAAGGACGAAGGCGCCCCCCCTCCATCAGAGGAGATCCTCGCCCATCCCATCGCCAAAGACTGTCTGCACCCAATGGGATGGACGTCGGAGAACGTCTCTAACGACTTCTCGATCTCCCGGGAAGATATGGATGTTTTCGCCGCCATTTCCCAGCAGCGGGCTGCCCATGCCGCCTCTGCAGGGCTATTCGACGCCGAGATCGTGCCTATCGAAGCGTTCCAAAAGGATCCCGCTACGGGAGAGCGCAAACGCGTCCTGGTAGAAAAAGACGATGGTATCCGGCCCTCTACGACCGCTGCCTCCCTAAGCAAGATCCGGCCCGCATTTCCCCAATGGGGCGGGCGTACAACCGGCGGGAACGCCAGCCAGATAACGGATGGGGCAGCTTCTGTGCTCCTTATGACACGGAGGAAAGCTGAGGAGCTCAGACTGCCTATCAAGGCTCGGTTCGTCACTACCGTCGTGTGTGGTCTTGCGCCCCGTATCATGGGAATCGGGCCGAGCATCGCTATCCCTCTAGCGCTGGAGCAGGCAGGGCTGAGCAAGGACGAAGTAGACCTGTTCGAGATAAACGAAGCGTTCGCGTCGATGTATGTGTACTGCGTGCGTCACCTGGGGCTGGATATAGACAAGGTGAACGTTAATGGAGGGGCGATTGCTCTGGGACACCCGTTGGGCGCGACGGGGGCCAGGCAGGTCGCTACGGGGCTGGCGGAACTGGAGAGGAGGGGAGGGAGGGTCCTGGTCACGAGTATGTGTATTGGTTTGGGCATGGGGGCGGCCGCGGTGTTCGTTAGGGAGTAATGGGTGTATTGCGCATGTAGTGACTTATTTTGTTATGGATCTGCCTCTAGAGTTGCAGCGAGGTGGGGGCTTGTTCTTCTCGAGAGGAACCGACTGGTGCGCTGCTGTCGAGGAATGTAAATGCAACAAATCATAAGAACAAACAATTGCCAGGCTGATACACAATTGCAGTAACAAAAACAAAAGGAAACAACTCCGCTGTTCAAAAGCAAAAAAGGCATGTAAGTAGTCAATGTATGTTCCAATGTTCGCGGCGCGGAACGCAGGAAGACGGGAAGTCAAATCTCCATAAACCCGTGGAGCTTGTCAGTCCATTCGAACCAGAGGGGCTCGTCTGCTTCTGCCTCCGTTTCTTGATTCAGCGCTGAGAGGGTTGGAATGGGTACTGGAGGCGGAGTGGTTGGTGGACGGGTGGTGATGACCTTTACGCGCTCTGGCTGGGCTTTCTGCATTAATATGCATAAGTGAGGTTGTTGGGTGGAAAAGGACAGTGAACTGACCTTGACTTTGAACATCCCGCTGGTCCCGAAACATCCTCTATCTAGAGCCCTGCTCAGAGCCTGCCTAGGCTCCCACGAAGGATGTTCAAACCGCCTCGGCGCCCTCAAGAGAAGATGCACTCTTGTGGGAGGGGTGTTCGTTTGATTCAAGTTGATGAGCGCTAGCGCGAGCATGCGTGCCGGATCTGGGGGACGCTGCTGGGATCGGCCTGCCGAGACTGGTTGGCTGCGCTTGGGGCAGGGGGAGTTGAGTGGGGATACCGACAATTCGCGGCTTGAGGTAGAGGAGGAGAGGGACCGTGCAGCGCGGTTGTGGGCAGGAGAGGGGGAGACTTCTCTTTCTTCAGGCTCTTCTGGTTGCTCGTCGTCTAGCTCCTCCTCCCCGGAACTTGCCTCCAGATCGGAGCAGCCGCCTCCGACCTCGATTTCATCTTCCATCTCCTCATTTGTCTGTTCTTCATCCTCACTCTCAGGTTCTTTCTGCTCCCAGTCCCTGATCTCCACTCCCTCCAACTCGAGGAGCACGCGTTCCTTGCTCCCACCTGACGGCGGACCGAGCGTGATCAACACGTGTGTTCTTCCTGTCTCTCCCTGGGTCAGGTGGGTGCTGCATCTTGCTAATGCGGTGGAAAGCTGGATGAAGGTTGTTGTCATGTGAGACGAGAGGACGTCAAGTGTTTGCAGCAACTCGACGCGCTTCTTGACCGCTCGCGCGTTCTGTATTTCATTAAGCAGCTGCCTGAAGCTTCGACCAAATACGCACCTTTCCCGCTTCCCCGAGGAAGTTCATCTGTTGCACAGACCTGGTACTTCGTCAGCCCCCCACCCCTCTCCTAGCCCTTACAAACAAACACGCACATTGGTACTTGCGACTTGACGTACAGCACGCTCTCCAGGGTGACCATCACCATTCTCGTCGCGAGCACGGGGTCGATTCTCTCCACGGGGACCCTTACATCGCCTAAACCAGAGGGAACAAGGACGCGTGAGAGTGCTGCTGGGGAAGGCGTGGTGAGTGCTGTTGATGGAGAGCTGGACGTTTGGGAACTGGGTGTGCTAGGGTCAGAGTAGAGATGGGATGATGGACGTAGGTGCATTGGTATGTGACCAGATCGTGTACTCCTGGAGATGGTGGGGAAGAGGAGAAAGACGTGAAGGACGATGTCCTCGAGCAAAGAGGCGACAACGGCCACGCGTGATGAAGGTAGTCACGTGACTACTTCAGGGCTGGTCAACCTCGGAGCCGGTGGAGTGGCGTCGACTTCGGCCGGAATTGGAAGCCGGATGCAAACTGTTCCGCTCCTCCTCCTCCTCGAGCTCATCATTCACAATGGCCTCATTAGCTAGAATCGTGAGTACTTTCCCTCCAACGTCGACGACCATTGTATCGAGGTGATGGCAAGGTGCGTACAGCCGTTCCCCGTAGTACACGAGCCTTCTCTGCAGCTACCGTTGCTCGCAAGGGTATGTGATGTGACCAATGCATAACGACGAGAAGTTCTGACCACGCTTGTAGACATCGTTCAGGACCTGTACCTCGCCCAGCTGAAATCATACAAGCCCAAGCCCCAGGTTTGATTTCCTACACTCCCAAACCGCAAGAAAACTGACACAAAGCAGGTGCAAGACGCCCACGTCGGCATCGTCAGGGAGTACAAGGCTCCCGCCGTTGCAGCAGCCACTGCTCTGCCCTCCGATCTCGCCTCTGAGCTTGCAACGTACGACGCTTCCCAGCCCGACCTGGCCGATGCTGTACCTGTCAAGACGAGCGCACATGTAGATGCGCAGCATGGGGGTCCTATGACTGCGGAGGAGTTCTTGGAGATGCTCGAGGCTGACCCGGTGGAGGTTGCACACCACTAGGACTTTGGCTAAATGCCTCCCAGGCGCGGGCAGGGGAGGAGATAGAGCAAAAACACACCGCACGAGCGGAAATGCGGAATGTATCGCTTTGCGAACGAATTAATATCATTCCAACCTTGAGTGAATGCTAGTGGTGGTACAATGCATGCTAATGAAGGGTGACAGCCGCACCTTTTGTTTAGTACTGTAAGGCACATGTGGAAGTAGAGGAGAAGGCCCAAAAAGTTGTCGGACTGAAGATGCCAAAGAAATACGCCTAGGCAATTAGGAGAAGAAGTACAAGCTGTCCTTGATTTTTTGGATGTCGAACTCGCCTTTGGACGGCACAGGTGGTATGATATCGATGAGGTTGACAAACCGTGTTTTGAGCGGCTTGAGCTTGCGTGTTGCGTACTTTCGCTTCTTGGATGTACCGTTTTCTTCCACTTCGGCCTCCGCGTCAGCCTCGTCAGAGCTAGCCCCGCTCTTCCCGATGTCAAGGTCAATCTCTTCCGAGCTCGTCATCCGCGCAAGGTCCTCTTTCGAGATACGTGCAACGTTCAGAGCGACGCAGTTACCAGGGGAGTCGTCGGCATCTTCTTCGGCCCCTTCCTCTTCGGCCTCGGCCATAGTGGGCTTAGGCCTCGTCAGATGCATCGTGGTGAGCAAGCTCACGGGGACCTTGTAATCCTTGTACCGCTGTTGGATCTATATCAAATTTGCCACCGTTAGCGGGCTTAAGATTCGTAAGCCACAGAACCCACTTCGAGCAGCAGGTTCCCAAGGATATCCGCACTGTGCAGCTTTACAAAGGTGTCCCGGATCGTGGCGGACATCTCGTCAATACTGGCAGCATGTGTCCAGTACGAGTCATGCACTGAGGCGAAGGTGAGCTGCTTGTCACGACATCCGAGGGCGGTCAGCATCATGTGCGTCGCGTCGAGGCTGTGGATAAAGTTGGGCGGGAAGGCCGATGCTTGCTTGCGTGAGCTGACTGAATAGAGCGTCAGCTTGCTAAATCAAGGGCACGTTTCGGAAATGTTTACCCTCCATAGGCAGGTTAGGATCAGCAATGAACAATGACTGGAGGGAAGTGTAGATCTGCTTCTTCGCTTGCTTGCGATAGGGCTGCACCACCGGCATACCCAACGGCGTCGTCCAGATCATAGATGTCATCTGCTCCTTGACGAGAGAAGTGTAAGTGCGCTTCATAGGCGCGTTTCGGACTTCTCCGGCATATTCCTTGTCACGGAGCAGCAGGTCGATTCTCTCTGGAGGGATGGACTTGGTGATCAGCGCGCAGACCTTGTTGAGCCAAAGTTGGATGGATTTGGCACCGCCGAACAGATCACCGATGCAGGAGAGAGTCTGGACTAACATTCAGCCTTCTGAAGCATATCTGCATCAGCCTACCTACAAGTCTAGCCACGTAGACAGCCATGGCATAGCTCTCCTGCTCAGATATCGATACTCCCGGAAGAGCTTCGATCTGCTTGCGGATCTGGTCACGAGCTCCAACGAATGTCACACCATAGACCGTGGTCATGACCTATCCGATGCTATGAGCTAGAGCATCAATGAACATGGAAAGGTTGCCTACCGTCTGCTTGACGACTTTGCGAGCAATCCTGCCTTGGAGCCATTTGGCCTTTTCGTCTCCTTTGGCAGCTGCCTCGTCAAGCCTCTTCTCAACCATGTTTGCCACAAAAGTGTAGACATCGGCAGGCCTGTCACCAACATCCAGGTTCACTTGCCGAGCACCTTGGCCGTCACCGCCCAGAGCCGCATAATGCTGCAGACCATTGCAGGTTCCATCCTGATGGACAGGAAGGGAGGATTCGAACTCGGCTGGATTAGGGGACTCCAGCGCATTATGAAGCTCTATACAAGAGGCCAAGAACTGCCACGGGTCGTCGGCTTTCAGCCACCACCTTTGACCCTGAACAAGAATGAGCTCGATCCGATTATGCAAGACGCTATACATACATCCAAGGGCTTCTTAGCACTGTCGTAAATCTCGTCCAAGTGCTCCATGGTCCAGGTCACACGTTCTTCGAAACTGGCTTTATCGTATCCGAATTTGTTTGCGGCATGAATTTTCAGCCACCGCAGACCCCGTTCTCCAAGCGCCTTCTTATCGGCAAAGGTCAGCAATCCTCGGCAAAGATCATCACCCATATGATTGAGATTTGGAGGCACAGGATAAGCACGTCCACGGAAATCGACGTTATGGGGGAAGTAAAAACGTTCTCCGAGGAACTAGGAAAGGGTCAGGCCCACTCTCTAGGACAAAACGTGGTAAACCTACAGCTCTTGCAATCTCCAGTTTGTAGTTGGTATCGCAGCGCATGCTGTGATTCTCATGACGCTTCTGAATGCTCGTACTCATGGCTCTCACAAAGTCCCTCTTTGCCTTGGGGTCTGTCTCATAATTGTCAGGTTTGACGGGATCTTCTCCCTCTAGGCCAGCAGGCGGGATCTTGGCGAATTGCTTCCCAGAGTTCCACACCGCAATAACCACATCAAAGATGGGCCTGTTGATTGTCCACGGAGTGCTGCCGAGAACATCCAGAGCCGCGTACATGGATTCCAGGTGGCCAGCACTCGAGGCAGACCGTAAAAACGAGGACTGCTCCAGAGAATCCTTGTAACGCATGACACTTGCTGGACAGCGAGTCAGGTGAGAGACAGAAGACGACACAAATCATCCTTACTCCTCGAGTACATGTATGCACCCCTTTCAACGTCTATCCACGGGCGCGGAGGAATGAGCATAGGCAATTGCCGGGGATGGAGTGCATCTTTGATCGGCTCGGAGGAGAGCTGTTCAGTAAGTTCGGGGTTGAACTTAATCAGGCCGATCTTTCGCCCATGTAAGAATTCATAGCAATGGGCAAACGCAGGCTGTTCTTCCGATCTGCGAACACTATGAGGTATAGTTACGTGAGTTGTATAGAAGTCACGTACACTTCCTCGCCAGTCGAAGGACGAATGCCCCTCCTCGTAATGGTGGCCACGTCAATGACCGCGTTCAATAAGAATCCTCCCACTCTGCCTCGGATCACTTGAGTCCAGTCTGGCGGTATCGCCATGGTAAAGTCTTCTGAATCTCGAGCTTGCTGCCTGATCGCCGCGAGCTCGGTCAGGCTGCCTTCAGAGGTTAGAACGACAGGGTCAGGCCCGCGTGACCTCTGTGCCAGTGCAACCTCGGCATTATACTCTTGTTCCACGACTCGACCCAGAGTGATTGCGGTGCGCGCCGTGCGCACACCGCCGTCTGAAGTGCCGTACCGCAACAGCTCACTGATCGTCATAGTCGCCATCTTCTCGGTTGACAACAAACGCAGGAAAGGGCCAATTGCATCCCCGTCTGGCTGTACAAATACTGATTTCCCTACAGGACCATTGATAACGGCTTAACAACAAAAAAACCAGTTGGCTTACGCCTCTGTGCGAGCTTTTCTTCTTCTTCCAGAGTAGGAATCTCGTTATCAAGCCGTTCCTTCAGTGCCTGGTACCAGTTCCACATCCATTTCTTTAGCTTCATATGCTGTGTATTCCATCCTGCAACGTTATGGTGGGTCATTTCCTCTGCCTGATGTCTCCAGCGCTGTGCGGCAACCATGTAAGCGGATTCTTCCATCAAGCGCTGACGTGCAGTAGGGTCATCTTGCAAGCTAGCACGACCGACTCTCACTTGGCCTAGGTATTCGCGCATCGCCTGCAGATTGTACGGATGCTTCTTGTCTTGGCCCGGCGCCTCAGCTTTGTCCTTGAATTGTACCCACTTGCCGCCCAGGATTCGTCGCATGGAAGGCACGTGCAGCTGTATGGGTGGGATTCGGTTAGTTCGACATCATTTTCCTTGTGAATCACGCACCATCTCAACCGGCTTCACATCGGGCACCCCCTCCAGCTCATCCGAAGCTGTGTCTGCGACCGCTTTCGAAAGCTCCATCGCGATATCAGCACGACCACAGTCCAGGGCGGCGACGCGAAGAAAACGACTGCATTCATCAATGTCGAATTGAAGTAGAGGCGATTGCATCAAGTCATACAACAATACGTGTTGTTGCAAAAGAAGTTTGAAGAACCGATCACCGCTGGGTGCGGAAACGCCTGATACAGCTGTGCTCGACGAAAGAGAGAACCTATCCCTGATGTCAGAAGTTGGTAAAGTGATCACACGATAATTGCTCACTTTATGAGGGCGAGCAAAGCAATGGCAAAACTTTCACGGTTGGGACGCACGATCCATTTGGACTCATTAGATGTCAGCTCTGAGAACAGAGTCCAGAGATTCTTCAGCCAAGACTTGCGCTCTGCTTCGGTGATTCCTTCCTTGAGAGATTCGGTAAGGTAAGACCCAAGAAATGAGTTGTACAGCTCGACGTCCAGGGTGCTCCTTCCCTCCTCCGTCTTCTTGAGTGCTTCGAACATACGCGCAGCGCGGTGAACATCGTACCCATCCTTCAGAAGGGCGTCCATAACGGAAAATGTGTGTTGGACACTCGAATCAGGGTAGAAGTGCGTGTTGAGTGGGCTTGACTCCCCGACAGGAAGCGGTGTTGGAAGCAAAGTGAGGGGTATACGAGATGGCAGCTGGTTGGTGAGACTGGGGGGGTTCGAGCGACTTGTCTCCGGTTCTGAATTGGGTATAGGTGGGTATTGAGGAGCCTTGTATTTCGGATTAGGCTTGACAGCAAAGGCGGCACTTGCGTGGGCCGACTTGGTGCTCGAAACATATTGACGAATCGCTCCATGTCTATCGTTAGCAGGCCCAGGTGGATATCGTCGCCCGCCGATATGCCTGCACATGAGTGCTACAGATGCAGCTTTTGAAAGAACTGAATGCATGAAGAGAATGACGGGATGAGTAGGGGAGAGTTGAGCAGCCCGACACAACTGATTTGAACAACGTCGATGTCTGCTTCCTAGTTTTGCACAAATGGCTCAGACGACCGAATTTTCGGTTCGCCGCTTTTCGGCCGGAATCAAATCGAGGCACGTGATTGCCATAATCAGCCTCTCCTGTTTAGACAATCAATATTGCAATACAATTCGCCCTTAACCCCTTTGCATCTCCCTGGAAGCCTTTCCCCACGTGTCTGCACAAGCCAATTCAAGGACAAAAAACAGCAAGAACTCTCATCCGACTCTCTGACCGATAAGAAGCAGTCCACGCATTTGGACATCAAATGGTAAAAGTCCATAACTTCCCATGTCATCCCACCTCCCTGTCCGAATCGGGCAGCAAATCTCCAGGAATTTCCTCTTCTCGCGCTCTCCGTGTCCCTCCGCTGCTCTAGCAGCAAGCAACAATATTATCCCAGTCCAGACGGGAGAACACTTCACCCGGATCCGTCTATATAATAGAAGGCCTCCCCGCACTGAACGGTCACCTGTCCTCCCTCCAACAGATCTAATAATCCTAGTCAAATACGACTGTTTAAATCTCTTACTATTCCATATATAACGAACAAACCTATTGGAAATAAAAGAGAAATGTCTGCTGCTCAGAGGAAAGCGCCGTCAAAGGCCGTTCAGCTCGCTATCGACGCCGGCGCGCCCACTATCATTGACCCTAGCACTGTGCGTCTTTCTTTCTTACCCCCACCATCTGCACATTCGAGCCTCAAGAATGCGAATAGTTGCCAGACGTGACGGACATCTCTCCAGAGACGGTGATGGAGAGTAGTTGCCATCAACACGCAATGCAAGAATGAGTGTGTCTTATTCTGGTCTCGTTTGAAGGGGTGTGGACGACTGACGGGGCTGTACAAGGCAAAAAATCCTGATCAACAACCTAGTGCGGCACTTGCACGATTGTAGGTCCTCTTCTGATTCTCTTTGGCCCACGCTGAGCATTATGCAGACGCTCGCGAGACCAAGTAAGGTCTCCCATCTGCAATCATACACAGCACCTGACCATTCTGCTCACGAAGGCTCACAACCGAGGAATGGATGTACGTCCCTCCCCACCAAACACATGCTGGCCTCCGCCTAACAATATTCGTAAATAGAACCGCGATCCAGTTCCTGACCGCCATGGGGCAGAAGTGCTCTCCCATGTGAGCCCCCTTCTTCCGCGGCGTTCTATCAGGCGCTCCTCCCCGCGGAGAGGGATCAACGTACATCCGTACTGATTTGCTCCAGTCGACATGAGTTCATCCTCCTCAGTGACGTTCTGGGCGTCTCGGCGCTTGTGGATTCGATCAACCATACGCGCCAGCCTAACGCGACGGAGAACACGGTGCTAGGTCCCTTGTTCACTGAGGACGCGAATGACTTCTATCCCACTGCTGCCGGCTCCGCACTCGGTCCTGACCCCGTATAGTCGATCAGCAAGGCCCTATGGCCTCCGAAGGCAAAGGTGACCCGCTGCTCGTTACCCTGCGTGTGCTGGACACGCAAGGTCGTCCCGTACCCGGCGCGCGGGTCGAGATGTGGGAGACGGATGCAGAGGGGTTCTACGATACGCAGTATGAGGGGCGAACGGGGCCGGACTGCCGTGGGAGGCTGAACACGCAAGAAGATGGCGTGTGCGAGTTCTGGGCCGTCTTCCCCGTTGCGTATCCTATTCCGAGCGATGTGCGTACCCTTGCTTCGAAGGAAAAGTCGATTGCTGACAGAGTTGCTGTTGCAGGGCCCGGTTGGAAGCCTCCTTCGCAGCTTGCACACATCATGGCCATCTACACCGCCTATGTTCCTGCCTGCCGGAGACGACCCCATTGTAGGACTGCGGCCGGGCATACCTTGCAATGCAGAACTGTTCCAAAGCCGAACGACACTGAACCGGGACTGCGACCATCCCTAATCGGGACCTGTCCGGAGGTCATAACAACGACGTATGAAATGCTGTGACTACTGGATGGGGTGAACGTATCTCACCTTACCACTCCACCACCAACCTCCCGGGATAATCTCAAACGCCGCTTCTAGACCGCCCTATATAGATTAACTGAAGTATCTGGAGCATGGCGACGTTTGTCATGGCATGGGCGACAAGCACAGCTATCCGTCTATCCGTATGTCCCAGCGGACGGATAAATCTATTCCTGGGGTGGGCTGTTGCCATGTCAACTCGGGGTCATCGGAACCGATCTCTTGTGAGGGGAGAGTCGTCTGATCTAGCTATATCCTGCGCTCAATTGAAAGTGGACTGCATTTTTCATCATGTCCCACTGAAACATGATTCCCATGGCCGATGCATGTTTATGCTAAATGCAACACAGGTATCTGCAGACAATAGAAAAACCCTTTCAGGCCAGTGGTCAGCGCCTCAGCATTCCTCTTTACTTAAATATGCTCAAGGAGCTGGAGCCAGAGTGACCATACCCCCGACTCGCGCGCTGGTCGCCGTTCTTCACTCTTTCCTGAACTACACCCTCACACTATTCTCCAATATGCAAAGTATGTCGTTTTGTTGTGGACATGACTGGTTTTGCTGACATGACGTTACAGTATGAGAATTACTGCTGGCAGTCTTTTCCATTGTTCCTATCGCTTGCGCACTTCCCATCGACCGCCGCCCCCGCAATGTCATGGTCGAGCACGCATCCAGTACTAATGTGGCAACAGACTTAAATACCGGCGGCCCTCTTCATGATGCTCTTCCACCCTCTTTATATGACGATGACTTATTCCTGGATGAAGATGACGTGTTCATGGATGACGATGACTTGACCCTGGAGATCCGCGACCCAACTTGCTTCCTGTGTAAGAGCGACCAACGTGGTGGGAAAGTCTCCAAGAACACATTCTGTCACAACCGCGGCCTCCATCTCGCACATGACAGTTGTCGCAAGCAGGGGGGTCAGGCCTGGGACCGAACGTGTGACAATCCCGAATGCAAGCGCACGAGGCCCGGGCCCAAGCCCAAGCCCCAGGACCCGGCCGAGAGGCTGGCCAAGCGCAGGGCCGCCCGTGCCAAGCGCAAGGGCGCGGCGTCCGAAGCTCCGGGGCCGAGCCATCCAGATCCATCAGATTCGTCGAACACCCTACATTAACCCTCTCCACAGTCGCAGCAACAATCATCCTCGACATACCAGACCACCCATCACAGTTCGAACTCCTCTGTGGCTGCCTCCTACAGCAACTCTTACGCGGGGAATCCGTACGTGCCTGCTCTTGGTGTCTACCAAGAGCACTTGATCGCACCCATCCATCCTTTAGAGTTCGGCCAGGCACCCCAGCAACAATCTCCACACTCGCAATCTCTACACGGCCTGACCCCGTACCAGTCGTACCAGTCGTACCAGCCTGGCCCATCGACTGCTGGGCCTCCCTCCATTTGGCAATCTTCGCAGGTGCCTAGTACAAGCAGGCAAACATTCCCGTCGCTCAACACCAACCCCCCCTACCATCCATACTCCCCATACGCACATCATCCTTTAGGGTTCAGCGAGGCACAGCGGCCGCAATGGGACCAGAATGTGAACGCCTTTATGGGTAACCCCACCACGCATACTCCCTCTTCCGGTTCATGCGTTGCTTGTGGCACGCAGACGGGAGACACAGGCCGATGCCAGAATGGCAACCTCCACTATGTCCACAGGGGGGGATGTTTGTCTCACATGGAGAAGGCATGTCCTGTTGCAAACCTGTGCGAAGCAGCCGCCATACCGGAAACGCAATAATCTAAGGTCGAGGTACAGAACTATGCAGCGACGGACGACATTAGCGAGCGGATCCAAGCCCGTTCAAGTTCAATCGTGGTGGTGCGTTGCGGTTCCGCTGTCCACAACTCTCTGCTCGTTAACCTCTGCTGACTATGTGAAGGACATCAACCATTCCCTTTTCTGCCCTGGGTTGTGTGCCGCCTCCTCTGCAAGCTCGCCCCTGGCCCGTTCCCGCAATGCAACGGCGCGTCACCCGTTACTCACGGTCCATCTCCTCGAGCTCACCGACCAACGTCAACGTCAATGTCAGGCCCATCAGTGCTCCAGCTATAGCGAGTTCGACGGCGCGCGCGATGGGGATGACCTGTCTTAACAGCGGACGACAACGATCTCGAGGGTCCAACACCAACAAGCAAGGACAGCAACCAGAGGGTGGATGCTCGCTGGGAATGAGCGAGAGAGAGGATGGATTGGTATTCGCATCCACACGGGAATGGCTATCTAGGTGCACGTATTTATACCTTCGACAGCCTGGATGTCCGCTCATACCTCTTCAGGTTACGCTACTGGGTGGGATGAACCTGTCGCGCAGTGTGATTCCGGACCAGTCTCTGCAGTAATCCATCACGTTTACCTTTGCCCAATGCTCCTTGGTGGCCATCCAGCCCGTGTCGGTCCAGCCATCCATCCATCCAACCATGCCAGCCTACCACGCCATCCGTCCGTGTCCGGCAACACTAGCACTGCCCATGCTCGCAACTCCATGCAACTTGCCCCAACCTCCCCTCGGCAGCGTACCAATCTCACCCGCTAGAGACGCTCTATTTCTGGCCAAGAGTGTGACGCCATCCGATGTGCGTGATGCGTGAGCGTGGAGGTTAGCACGTATTACTGTCCAAACTGTCTGTTCGAGGTGCCCAGTGCGAGCGTGCGCGCGGAGGAAAATCGGTCAGCCTGAGTGCATTGGTGCTCAACAATGCTGAACAAGTGTAGATGCGCTTTGTTTGCCCGCATGCTCCAACACTCTCCAGACTAATTCCTGCGCGATAATGAGGCATGACGGGGTACGCGTTCGCCCAATCGATGACGTCGTCATCCTTCACAGACGGCACGTCGACCGATAAAGGAAAGTTGTGTAGACCGTCTGGAATAGGGGCGAGAGTAGAATGGCTCGGGTTTCCCATTGACGAATTAATATTCTCAGAGAAGATTTTGTGGATTTTCCCGACGAGGCGTGGTCGTACGGTCGTACATCAACCTGACTCTGGGCGTCAATCGACGTTTTGCAAGGTTCTCATGTCCACTGTCCCTGACCCGCCCGACAGGCGAAAGGCCAAAAATACCGGGGTCGAACTGAAGGGAATGTAGGGTCATTGTCAGGTACAGAGACAGAGACAGACAGAGAGAGGTCATATCACGCACGCGTCATGGTTCCTGTGGTCATTTCGAATGATCTGCTGGCCGTACCAAGCTCTTTCGGGAGAGCGGCCACTCCGTGGCACGTGTGCCTCTGTGCCTCTGTGTCTAGACGAGGAATGCGGAGACTCATGCGGGGCCGTACGTAAGGAATGTACCAGCTCACGAGGATACCACTTGAGATTCCTCGAGTGCGGAAAAATATCGTATTGTGCGTTTGGCGACAGCAAGTCGGCGAGCCGGCGAGCCTGGTTATGTCCCCGGCAGGTAGGTGGCTGAACGTAATCCAGAGTCTGCTGAATGCTGGATTGAAGATGGGGTGGTCATCTCGGGCCAGCAGTTCGCAGGCACGCGGGCGCATGGGAAGACTGGATACGGAAACGAGGTATTCCTTAATCAATGTTGGAAGCTCGGTTCCTCGCATTCCATGAACTTGACGAAGCCGAAGGGTGTGATCAGGTGTTGGGGTCGGCCGCAGCATCCGAGAGTCACGAGCGCCGGCGGAGATGAAGAGAGCGCTTAAGATGAGAACTTCTGGAAGAGGGCATTGTCAGGTGGATTGTGGAGAGGTGGGAAGGTGAGGTCCAGATAGATTACTGTGTGGATCGATTGACCGTTCGGGAACGTGTGGGCAGGCGCGAATGCTGGGTAACGGAATATATGAATAGCTCTCGTAATGTCGATAAGGTGCGGAAGTGGGGACGCCCTGAGAGGTGAAGGGAGATTGGGAGTGCGAGATGTACGGCGCATACGAAATAGAAATAGAATATTGTTATGAGGGAAGCAAGGCGACGAGGACACATCCCTTTTGTTAACGTACTACGAACGCCGTCGACTTTGCTAACTAACTTTTCCTTTTCTCTTCGAATGTTGTGATAGCTTAAGAATAACTAGGAAAAGAGAGAGAAAAAGTTGGTTGTTTCTATTCAATCCTCTCTCATCATCCGACACGGCACCAACCGTCACTTCACAGCCACTCTTCGCATCTCACAGAACGCGACAACGCCCATCCATTCCCCTCTCTCACCTCCCCCGACGACGACGACACTCCTCTTCTTCCTTCTTACCACCACCACCGTCTACAACCATCCTCAACCTAGATATTCCTTCCTCATCACTGTCTAGCCGTTGCCACCGTCACTCTCTCCTTGCCAACGCTCTGGTAAGCATTTCATTCTTACCATCCAAGTCTTGTGTTCGTTGGCAACCACTCTTTACCTCTCTGCACCCCATGCATATCCCATGCATTCAGCCATCCCCTTCCATCATTCTATCCTATTTCTCGTGTCGATCCTGCCACCCATGTCGACGGAGACCCCACTTGTCCCTCTCACTTCCTTCACATATCACCCTGCAGTCACTCTTCTGACGCGTCCCCAACAGGCATCCATTCCACTGATAACCCACAATGGCCGCTCACTACGATCTAATGCCATCGCCACCCGGTCCCTCCTCTGCCCGCCACCGCCCAGCGTCCGAGGCCGTATTTACCCGCAGCGCTTCTGAACGACGACCACCTCACGCGTCTCCTTACGCTGCATACCCCACTTCACCAGACCGCAGTATGCAACCAACCGAGCCAGCTCTTTCTTACGACGTCTACCAGCATCCCAAGGCTATTGCGTACCAGCAACAACACCCCAGACGGTCTCTGCCGAAATTTGGTCCATATCTGCTCCTCCAAACCCTTGGCGAGGGAGAGTTCGGCAAGGTCAAACTCGGTCTACACGAGGAATGGGGCGAGGAGGTGGCGGTCAAGCTTATGCGCCGCGGTAATGTTGACAATCAGGTCCGCTTAAGCAAGGTCGAGCGCGAGATAGAAGTTCTCAAGGTGCGTGTATGCGCCTCGTGTTCGCCGGCTAAGCTGACAAACCCTAGAAACTCAAACACCCCAATATTGTCAGGTTGTATGATGTGATTGAGACGGACAAGTACATCGGCATAATTCTAGAATACGCTTCAGGTGCGTTCACGCCGGTCTAGCTCCAGTCAATCATTCATGTCATCCCCAGGTGGCGAGCTCTTCGACCATATTCTTGCCCACCGCTATCTCCGAGAGAAGGACGCTTGCAAGCTCTTCGCCCAGCTCATATCTGGCGTTTGGTATATCCATCAGAAGAAGATCGTCCACCGTGATTTGAAGTTGGAGAACCTTCTTTTGGACCGAAACCGCAATGTCATCATCACCGACTTCGGATTTGCGAACCGTTTTGAACACAAGGCAGACGATCTCATGGTCACATCTTGCGGAAGTCCTTGCTATGCTGCACCCGAATTGGTCATCTCAGAGGGTGCGTATGTAGGCTCGGCTGTCGACGTCTGGTCTTGCGGTGTCATTTTATACGCTATGCTTGCTGGCTATCTTCCTTTCGACGACGATCCGTCTAATCCGGATGGCGATAACATCAACCTGCTCTACAAGTATATCGTTTCCACTACTCTGACATTCCCAGATTATGTTTCCGAAGGTGCACGTCACTTGCTCGGCATCATGCTTGTTCCCGATCCGAAATACCGTGCTTCTCTGCAAACAGTCATGCAGCACGAATGGCTCGCTCCCTACCGTCCACTCTTCCAGCGCTCCGTCGATCAATTGGAACAGTCCGCCGCGGAAGCTGCTCAACAGAAGCGGGAGGCCTACATCAAGTCAGCTCGGGCTGCCAGGCAAGCTCTGCTGGCACAACAGCAGCAGCAGATGGCTCGCATGGCCCGCAGCCAGACCGTTTCACCCGGTGGTATGCCCATGTTGACCAGTGATCGCCGGCCTGGTATAAGCGGGAGTGCAACAGCAGATTTCACGGTCTACGAATCTCACCAGGAACCGATCTACAACGCTCCACCGTCTGCAACCAGTGCTCGCCGCGTCGTTGCTAGTGCCATTGTGATGCCGACTTCCGCTGGCCTCGATCAGGACTCGATGATGGAGCCCTCCCAGATGTACGCACCACAGTCAGAAATCCCTCAACGAACTCGCAAGGAATCCGCCCCGCATCCCATGTCAACACCCCGGGTGCCCCGTGCTCAACCCGCACCTGCACCTGGCCCGCCACCACCATCTTCTGAAAGCCAGAGACGTCGTGCTTCGCACAGGCACACAGTGCAGGTTGAGTATGAGACCCCCGAGCCAGAGCCTTTCCCTTCCATGCCTGCGCCTCTGTCGGGTGCGCCTCCTGGGCCTGCGCCGCAGGTCCAGCAAGGTCCCCAGCGCCCCTCTCAACGGACACGTACGTCCTCCGACGCTGCCTCCATCCTGCTCAGTGGCTCACTGGGTGTGACAGCTCCTGTCCTTACCACAGCCTATGGTCAGCCAGAGATTATCATTCCACAGCCTTCTGGTACTGGGAGGAAGGCAGAGTCCCCAGCCAACATCCCTCAGCCTTTGCCTCCCGTTTCCGCTCCGCCTTCCACGCCACCAAAGAGTCGCAAGCCAAGTGTACCTACTACTCCACCCGTTGTTCCTGGCCTCACTCCCAGATCCCCTCATATGCCCCGTGTACCAAATTCGACCCCGATCACCCCGCATCCCGCTCGGAACGCCCCGCAGATTGCTGTATCATCACCTGGCACCTCCCCCGCTCATCGTCGGGCAACGATAACCGAATCCTCCGTTCCTCATGTCGCTCGCCATGATGAAGCGTCACCGATCACACCCACTGGTGACACTACCGTCTCACCCCTTTCGGCATCGTGTTCCTCAAATACCAATCCAGGTGATGCGAGCATATCGAGTAGTAACGTTAGCGGCGCTCCTTCGCGCTCGACCACTGCATCGAGTCGGACCGGCCACAGGAAAGGACTATCCATGGAACATGTACCCGGGCAGGCGCCCCGAGCTCCCGTACGTGGACCGGACAGCATGCCCCCTGTTTCTGGCGCTGGTCGGACGCTTGCGAGCCGCATGTCGGGCGGCTTGGGCTCGTCCACTGCTTCTACTGAGCTCAGCGACAAGGAGAAGAAAAAGGGTCGCCGGACGACACTCAGCCTCCTCCCTAATTTCAATTCCAGCGTCAGGGACAAAGAGAGACGTCACCTGGAACCTCCGCGCACCGCCGTCCCATCAAGTGTTAGTCAGAACCCGCCTCTAGTCACACCGGATTATTCTGTGCCCCCAATTGCTCGCAGTGGCTCGCATTCATCTGGTCCTACTGGATCTACAGCGCCAGCCAAGCAGGTCATGAACTGGTTCCGCAAGAAGAGCCAAGCGAAGAATGGCGCTCCCGGCATGAGCTCTTGGGATTCCAGCGCTTCGGACAACGTTCCTGCTCAGCCCAGTGTCCCCCAGCCGTCAGTTCCGCTTGCGCCTGGTGCACCCGGTCCCAAGTTGGTCATCACTACTACTGCACCTATCGAGGAGAGGTACGCAGCACCTCCACGGGCTTCTCCAGTAGTGCAGTCTGCGGGTGCTCGGGTGTTCGACGCGACTCCTCTACGCCTGCACGAAGGTGCCACTGATCACAGTCATGTCACTATCGAATACCCGCCTGTGGTGATGCAGAAAGTCGCCGAGACCCTGCGTACGATGGGCGTCGAGTTCTCACAGGAAACCCCATTCAGGTATCGTTGCGTGCGGCACAAGCGCAAGACTTCCATCTCCAAGTCCAACACTGGTTTGGGCTTCAGCGGTATGATCGCCAGCGGGGGCCCGCCTTCCTCCAGTCGCAATCTCTTGGCCAATTCGGGCACCAGCACCATGCTTAAAGGTCTGCTCCGTCGTGGTTCTCAGAACCCCGCCGCAACCGGACTTGTCTCCCCAGTCCTGTCTAATGGATCTGAGGATACCGCTAATGGTCCTCACAGCGCTAATGACACGGTGGATAACGCCATGTACGGTGATATCAGCGTCGACAAAGGGGACGAAGTCCGCTTCTATGTCGAATTAACGAGGCTTGAGAAAATGCAAGGCACTTACAGCTTGGATATCCGCAGACTGAAGGGAAGCTTAGGCGGATTCAAGGTTGTTTACGAGACGTTGAGAGAGTGCGTATTGTCTCACAAAGTGTAGTCACAGTGGCTAATATCCTCCACTAGTCGCTTGAAGCTTGCTCGTTGACCGTCTTCGATCTTATACATATTGCCATCTCTATCTCACTCTTCCCTTTCTCCCTACGTTCCTCGTAGACCAAAAGACCCACCAAATGTCGATACCAGCTGGTCACCCGACACATTCTCTCGTTATCTGTTCACTCTCGTGTTTCTCTCTGGATGAATCTCTCGATTAGCCCGACCTCCCTAATTATTTTTTCCTCTGCGTTTGATGTCATCTCTGCTCTCCCTTCTGCGTTGCCCACCTGTCGTTTGCGTCTGCCCCTAATTATATTACTTACGGCGTCATCTTGATCTGTGCATGGTGGCCACTGTTTCCATACATGTTCTATATGCTAGCTGACAATACATCTCCCCTTGAGTTCGATGTCCTTGTTTGATGTCCGTCGTTCATTCACACGTCCGTCAATGCTCAATCTCACAATATTAATGTTATACAACCAGTCATTAAACGTCCATCTGTGTTTGGATTGGCAATATGCCCATGACTACAATGCCGCATCAGGGCATCTTGACACGGCAGCCACGGCAATCCAGGCAGCGCTACAAACACCACTTGTCGACTTGCTCTCTTCTTCGCTGCACTCCCCACCGTGGGTTCCGTCCTTCCACCACGAACGAACAACGGGACTTGCACCGATTAGACCAAGCGCTCCTCTCGTCCGACTCTACTTATCGTCACTTGGGTGACTTGGCATCACTATACTCGTTTTACCTCTGCAAGAATATATCTGCCGAAGTTTGCTATGCGGATTCGTAAATAACACCGTAGCCTCAAACTTTCTATCCGTACATAACCAGACCCGATGGTCAAATGCATCCCATTGTAAGTTCACATCGGCCAACATCGGCTCTTCCCACTCACACCACTCATATGTTACATCCAGAGACAGTGAGCATAATAAGATGCATTGATGTTCTACATGAACAGAAGTATCTACAGTGCACCAGTGATGGCCACACGTTTCAAACCTGATCACCGGGCATCAGGTATCCTTGGTGGTCAGCACTCCATTGTGCCAGAACTCCCTGGTGCCTTATCCCCCCCTCTCCCTCCATCTGTCCTCAGTGAGTGCTGGGGAAGATGCCCTTGGTGGCCATCCCAGCTGTTCTGGAGAGTCTTCAAACAGAAGAACAGAGGTGTAGGCTAAGTGCATCCCTCCCTTCATGTCATCCCTGATGTTCCTCCATGAATCTGTGACCCAATCCACCCACAACATTTTGTAGGCCTTCTGTCCCACTGACTTGCCCCACCACATAGCTTCTTCCTTCTCAAATTCCTTTGGCTCAGGCTCAAGAACAAGTTCACTATTGAGCCAGAAACTTGCATGAGGGAATGCAGCATTACAGGAGAGTCAGGAAGGGTAAGCAATAGCCCAGTCATACTCCAGGATCACCCCCTTGCCTTTGATCACCTTGGCATGCTTGCCCCAGCATGTGTTTGCAGCTTGCTCCAGGCATTGGGTGAGTGTTGTGAAGGTTGTTAATGTATGATCATTTGCACATAAGTGATTTGCCAATCACTAAAGTCAGACCTGGTCATTCCTGCCATGCAAAATGCACATACCAGCATCGCAAGAAATTCTATGAGTTTCTCCACATCTGATTCACCCCCATTGGAGGTTTCCAAAGCCTTAGGCTTCAATCCCATCTTACAAGATGGGATATGGCTAATCACAGGCATCTGGGATGTCTGTAACCATTTGTCAACCCTCCACATAGGAGTGGTAGGAATTGTCAATCCTCCTTGAAGATCATCTTTGCTCCTAAACATAGGAGTGTTGTATGGTCCACAAGTAGTGGACTTTTGGTTCAAACTTGTGGAACCATTGGGGAGGTTCCCAAATGGGAACTTCAGTGTGTATGGACCCTCTTGGTCCAGATCAAAACAAATGTTTGAAGAGGGCTCTTTCCTCACCTCCATACTGGGAGGGGTGGGAGGGACTCTTAGCAGGGTCTCTTCCAACTCTGTTGGATCCTTTAAGGATGTGCTCTCAGGATCTATCTTAGATCCTTCTTCCCCAGAAGGGATTTGCAAATGTGGCAAGCTAGGCAATGTCTGCAATCCCATTCCAGACTGGGAGAGACTTGGTTATGACTCAAATTCATAGACCATGTCAGTCATATGGAGACTCATCATCTTCTGTCCCAATTCAGTGTATATCTGTATGTGTTCTGGGTCCTGACTGGCCATAGCCAGAACATTAAGCTCTGCACTATTGAAAGCTGGTATGCAATAATTGGAGCTTGGTGTCCATCCAGTCAAGTCATGATAAGTCAAGTCAAATCTGCTAAGTCAAGTCAAATCTGCCTATCCAGCAAGGGGATAATTGGATCCATATAAGTTAAATAAGCTAGATACAGGAGTTTCTGGAAACTACTTATACCAGCTACCATAAACCATACTCTATACTAATCTGGTCTCTGAATACCTCTCTAAGGCAGACATTGGCATGCCGAATATTCATGTGGGTCAATTGCATCCTGCACTTTCCCCAGCCTCCCACCCAGCTCACCTTTCCCTCCCACTCCTCCTCCTCCTCCTTCTTGCAAGATGCCCCCCCATAACAAGAAAAGTGTGACTCTGGGTGTTCCCACTGACCTTCCTGAGAAGGTCAGTGGGAACCAGCCTAAGCCTACAACCAAGAGGGCACACCCTGCTCCCAAGCAGCAGCAGCAGCAGCAGCCCTCAATGCCCAAGGCTCCCAAGGTTCCTGACAAATGTGTGCCTGAGACTCAAGATGTTGACATGCTTGGTCTTGACAAAAACATGACTGATGCACCTTGCAAGCATGTCATGAAGCCTAGAAGCCTGACAACCCCATGAAGCAAGCCAAGAATGCAGTGGACCTTACCAAGGAGCCCACTAAGGTCTCTTGGAAGGAGCATATCAAGGAGCTCGAGGAGCAGCTGGCCAAGAGTAATGCTGAGCTGCTTCTGGTCTCATGTAAGTCTTCTTTCTTTCATGCATGCCTTACTCATCTGTATGCAGAGGGATTTGATGAAGTCAAGGTGCAGCTCGACAAAGTCAAGAAGAAGGTGCCCATCATTCAGGACAACTCCCTCATGATACCAAAGCCTCCTGGTCAAGCTGGATGCAAGACTCAGATCAAGGACAGCAAGGTCATTGTCAGGGCACCAGCCCATTGCTTGGTCAAGAGACATGAGTAAGCCTTTATGACATGGAAGTAGCTGGTATACCTTGGCATGTGCTGGAACCTGCTGGAAGGATTGGATGGTCAGGTGACCTGCTGTGCATGGCTGTGCATGACCTCATATGACCTCATCCTTGGTCATATGACCTGATCACCTGACTAGGCTGAGTAAGCAAGATGTTCTAGCAGGTTCCACCACAGAGGTATAAATATAAGGCCTACTCTGCCTGGGGACTGTCTCTTCAGACTTGGTCTCTCAGGATCATCCACAGGTACCTATACTGTAGATAGGTCTTAGTCATCAGGTCTACTCCACTTTCCTTGTTGCCTGCTTAGACTCTTGGCACTCTTAGGTGAGCAGACTTAGTCAGCCTGTGTTGCCCTAACAGTCATCCAGCTCAGCTTTTGCACAAAGACAGAAATGAAAATTGACCCAAAGATGTACAATTGGCTTGTAGTAAGTACACTAATCTATGCTAGGGTCTATACTAACTTGTCTGCAGTACAAGATCAAGTCCTACATGCATGAAATGCACATGAAGTGGTTGGTCTTGTACTGCTTCCAACCTGCCCACAAGATTGCAGAAATCTGCAAGCTGGTAAGTTCTCCATCCAAGTGAGAATATTCACTTATCTTTGTCTAGGCTCAAGATCAATCTCCCATCCTCAAGTGCTACATTGATGATTGGGCAACATCAGCCATCATCAAGCCAGCCTTGAGAAACTTTTGCCAGAAG